AAAACGATGCGATTCACATTATTATTGGCATTAAAGCCCACTTAATCTGACTGAATGCTCTATCACTAACACACTGAAAACATTAATGACGGTAACACAATAAACCAACAGCCATCAGCTCGGTACCGTCAGGGCTCCAAGCTCCGTGAGCAGTATCATTTCATAATTATGATGGAAACTTACAAGTAACTATTATCCATCTCTCATTGGACTCAGAGACCCTTTATAAATAAACATGAACCTCTCCTCCCCACCTTTAAATATTTTCTGCTTAGAGCAAGAGGACACTAACTCACCGAGTTAACGCCCTACTGGCTCTCAGCAAATGAAACCTGTTGAATTCAGTGTATCAAATCTCTCTTAGTCCCTACCTCTCTATAAAGACCACCTGTGTATAGCCGACATGTGTTTTTCGCTCTCTAGAAAGACATGGGTTGTAGAACCTCTCTAGAGAGGCCATCTGTCTACAGTGGCTAGTTTTCGATTTATTTTGGGTTACCTTAAAATGGACAGGTTTGACTGTATCTCGACCGTGTAGATATTATTACAACCAAATTGGTATGAAAGTCATCATTATCCTGCCCGGCAGCTGCCCTCTTTGGTAAGCCAAGACATCAATCATGCATGGCATGAGAACTCTCAAAATACTGTATTATTGCTGGTTGTCGTGGATAGTACACTGTCGCTCATAACGGTGGAATATTTTTTTTTATCCCAATTTATGGAATTATTTTAAAAATAATTTTAAAATACTAGATCTAGATAATACTATACATTCTCAGATTTTATTGAATAATAATTTGCCAATGTGTGTTTTGCGTGACTGCTAAAGCATGTATATGCTACTATGTTTATCAACTAGGGGACCTATGCCCTTAAGTCATAAATGACAATAATGAGGATTAATGCCCCACAAAAGGGCACTAATATAGCACATCGACACGGTGTGGATCCTGGGGCCTCACAGTTACGAGGCCATTGATTTGTCACTGAACCATGACTGTACGCAGCGGGGGCTAGGGTAGGGGGCAGTTTCCATAAATTTAAAAAAAAACAGAAAATGCAATAAATTTTCAATAATTTATTGCATTCTACCCCGGTCCCCAACATAAAAAAATCCCTGGACGGCCATGCATTATGGCTCAAGGCATGGGCACACAGAGAATTTATAAAAAAAAAAAAAATATTCCACCTTTATGAGCGACAGTGTATGTCATGCTTAGATCAACAGGTTGTATTTAGGAAAAATGATAGTCAAACCTGTCTACAAAGGTCACCCAATGGAAACCAAAAATGGCCACTGCAGGAAAATGGAGACAAAAAGAGACAAGTTCTCCATTTCTTTTTTGAGGGTGACAAAATATATGGCCACTATACACAGGTGGCCTTTAATAGAGAGGTGGCCATTAAGAGAGATTTGACTGTACCCCCCCCCCTTAAAAAAAAAAAAAAAAAAAAAAAAAATCTCATTCAAGCTGACAAAGACAAGGGACTAAAAAAAATACTAGTATACGAGACTCAACTCCTTTCATGAATTCTTCTTAACATTCAATAGATTCCGCATTACAACAAATACATTGTTTTTCATCTTCTTCAATGAATGCTATATTACAGCAATTAAAAAAACAAAGATTCAAACACATGTAGCAACTGACAAAGAACTATTCAATGAATTTTAACTAATTGCAAGTTTGCAACTGAGCAAAAAATGGTTCATAATTATGTCTGAATACGTGCACATGATTGCAATGAATAAATCTTTATCTAATGTACAATTCAAATGGATACAATGCATACACAAAACCCCTAAATACACCTACAAATTAAATTTCTATGCAAAAACCCCTGTTTCTCCTCTTAATTATATTCATCCCTTTATCAGTCAGTACTTTTGTTCCTGTGCAAAATTTAAGTCAGTCATCTAAACACGCATGTGATTTGAAAATTTAAGTTAGGTTTTCTTTGAAATTTCTAAGTGTAGCATCATTTCGTCCCTATTTTCACGAAGTGACGGTAATGAGGAAAATTGCATACAATTTGCATGACGATTTTCCTCAATACCGTCACTTTGTGAATAGGGATGATTTGTAAGCTGCTATGCTACTTTTTAAGAAAGAAGAACTATCTGATATTTTTTGACAACATTTCACTGATCTAACCATTAGGACAACTCCAATGCATAAAACGACAGAGAAAGTTTATCATCCTATACATGTGAAGATGATGAAGAACAGATGTTGAAACAAACCCTTACTCATGCATGGATTTACAAATACAGTCTGGGTGTAACACCCATACAAATATCATCCACATTCAGCCTTACTTGAGAAAGACCCTTTTGAAAGGTAACATGAAGCATTTATAGATCAACTATATCAACTATATTAAACATGCAAACAAAAATGTGCAATAAACAACCATACAAAATGACATTGTTACAATATATTTTCGAATATACAAATAATCCTACTACGAAGGCCTACTGTAGATTTTTACATGCTCATTTATGTTTGTAACACATTATGTGATAAACTATGTCTATGACTGGACATAATCTTCAATACATTAACATATATGCTTGTATTGGTGTGAAGTAAATACATAATAAAAAACATAGAAACAAAGAGCCATCCTTACCAACAATAAATAAACAAATAAAGAGCAAACCTGGGTCTTGTGACACAAAGCTTGGCAATTGATTTCACATTTGATTTTTATAATCGATTGCAAATTGATCGCAGCAATCAATCGCAAAGATCAATTGTACGATCAATTGCTAAGCTTTGTGTTCAGGATCCAGGTCTCATTCCAGTTATAGCAGTAAGTCATCATTGATTACAGCTGTTAATACAAGCAAGTCAGAATATCTCCATTTTATTTTTATGAGGCATTTCAGTATGTGTGTCAACATTATTAAGTGGGTATCAACTGATGCTTCTATTTGTACATTTGGAAAGTACCCTTTTCCTCCTGCCTACAGCCCCCGCCCCCTCTCCTCTCCCTCCAACCCCCTTCCTTCTCCTCTACTAGTCTTCAATGCAATTATATCATGCACCCCCCCCCCCCCCCCCCGCCCCTCCCCTCACTGTAAAATACTACCTTTCATGGTTTTGTACACGCAATTCAGTCCAAGGCAAAGGCCAAAACCAAGAAAATATGGCTTCAAAGCTCGACTGGACTGCTATACTAATGCCCTTATGTCAGGATTCCCTTTAACCTTTATTCCATCCCTGCCTATCCCACCCCACCCCTTCAGAACCCTACCATCCTATTACATAATATCTCTACCCCTTAAATCATCAATGAAGGGAAAGAGTGTCCTGAATACAAACGGAATACTCGCAACATCAACAATTGAAAATAGTAGCTACAAATTTACACACCTACATTATCATGCTCAGTGGAAAGAATTTGCATGCATTTCAGATTTCATTCAGAAGCTATTATCAATGTAGTAAACAATAGCTTGCTGCTGTATATTACACATACAAAATAGTACAAAAAGGTTATATATCGCATAATAATTAATAATACTACTACTTTTACTACTACTACTACTACTACTAATAATAATAGTCACATTTGTTCAGCACTTAATACTACATTTTTTAAGTGCTTTACATTGAAAATACTTTTCTTATATTCAAAATTACTAAAAAATAAATATAATGTTTGCTTGCATTGAGCCCATCTTGCATTCAATATAAGCATTTGTTCTCAGATGAAAAACACAATGTTGGAATTCATCTGTTGAAAGGATATCTAAGCATCTACACTTAACATCAATACATACACCGCTATTAGTTATTAAATAGAGATTAGAAAAAGGAAACCATGCAAAACCATGAATACCGCATGCACCAGAGAACAGCATTGAATTCAGCATTTTTTTTTTACCACAGCCCGAACTATTGCACATCTAAAGTCTACTATTAGTGGACTAATGAAACACATACATATATATAGCATAATATCAAGGTGTGTTATAATATGGCCACTTTGGTCACTGTGTAACGTGTAGGTGATATAGGCAAGAAATTAAACAGTTTACATGCAAAGGATAAACGTTAGCAAACAACATGGTAGCATCAAAACACACAGATCCCTCACAGATCATCTGTCAACTCAAAAGCCAGATGGGTATTGACTCTGTGTGTAAAATTACATGAGTTAAGAACCCTTCTGGCTCCAAGTGATCGATAACGCAAATGCAAATCCAGCAACCATTGCCAGACTATGTCTATGACTCTATGAAGCATGGGCAAATCTAATATTACTTTATTAAATAAAATTACGACCTTACAATAACATGGAATAATATAGCGCTTCATGTAATTTTTTACATTATGTTAATATCCCTGGTTACTTGGTTCCAATCTAGATTGTTTAGGTATTGAGATATTTCCTTTCCACTCACACAATCCATAGAATTAGAAATTCTTTGCAGTAAAATGCTGATTAACTATACAGCAGCATGCAAGTGAATCATTATTAAGTGTTATTACCATATCTACATGATCGATGTCATGAAATTCTTGATTAAACATCCAAACACATCAACAGTATTCATATACACTTAGAAAGATCATGCTGTAGTCTTACAATCCATATGTACACACCTACCAAATATTCTTCTTATTTTTAATATTTTTTTTTTTGTTCCACCACACCTTGTGGACATTGAACAGGCGTTTAAAAAACAGGAAACAAAAATATTAATGTTTATAACACTCTGTATACTTGATGACATCCCCCCCCCAAAAAAAAAAAAAAAGTGTCATGAGACTTCTTATAAATCACTTTTCATTCTTAAGATTTTACATGAATATATCAAATACTATTGCAAATTCTTCAAAAATTGGATCGTAGTCAGGTCTTACAGTGCAAAGTGTGCTTTATTGTTTTGATTGGGTAGCCTTCAAGTCAACATTATTGTGAACATTCATGGTGCAATCAAGATGCAATCATCATGTTAATGTTTATAACACTCTGTATACTTGATGACATCCCCCCCCCCCAAAAAAAAAAGTGTCATGAGACTTCTTATAAATCACTTTTCATTCTTAAGATTTTACATGAATATATCAAATACTATTGCAAATTCTTCAAAAATTGGATCGTAGTCAGGTCTTACAGTGCAAAGTGTGCTTTATTGTTTTGATTGGGTAGCCTTCAAGTCAACATTATTGTGAACATTCATGGTGCAATCAAGATGCAATCATCATGCAATCATGAAGCTATCAAGATGCAATCATCATGCAATCATGTTGCAATCATCACTAACTAAAGGCTAGATTGAATAAGCAAGTAGTCATTGCACCTGAAGAAATCAGCTCATAAATCTGTTGTGAAAGTATCAAGACTGGATGACGGACACAACATAACGTCAAAAAGACAAACACCAAAATCAAGCAATTTTTTTGTAAAAACTGTACATGAAAATGTTGGTCCCTTTTGTGTCTCATGAAGAAAACATTGATTCATTCATACCTAGTCATATCATGATGACAATATTCAGATACTGGTACTAAAGCTAGACATTATACATACATCGATGTCTCCAGATACCATACTTTCTCACCAATGCTGCTTAAAAGTACTCTTCTGTAGTGGATGAAAAAATACACCTTAAGTGTCTTCTGGCACTGCTCATGCAGAATCTAAGGATTCTCAATCTCTCTCTCCATCTCTCAGTCCTTCTCTTTTGCCAATAAGCAAAAGGTCGGATAGAAACAATATAGTTTAACATTGAATAAATTTGTTAGCCTCCATGTATTTTCCTATTCTTAAAAAAAAGTTAGTTCATATTCTCCTATTATGCCGGCACCATTTACACAATCCTTATCAAATCCTTTGAGTTCAATGTCATTTGGTAATTTGCTGAATAAGCAGTTGACCAGTGCTAAGCTGTTGAGCCTTGCCTTTTACAATCTCCCAAATACCTGAGCGGAGAAGGTAAAACAAGAGTGATGAATGTTTCACTTAGAAGCAAGAGAAGAGACAGAAGCAGAGAGAGAGCTAGTATAATCCTGAAAAAGTTATGATGATATGCCTTTGGTACACCTTTGGCAGATTATGACAGCCTGATCTTGGTTAGATGGTCCAAATATATGTTTAGCTACTAGACAGCCATAGAGGTGACGTTACCACGGAAACACTGATCAGGCACAGCTCTAGGAGACTCCTTCACATAGTGACGGCTGTCTGGTTGTCTCTTCGCCATGGCCATTAGGATCCGTCTGAAGAAAAAAACAAAATATATAAGACTTTAAATCATCAAAGTTGATCTTATCTTTTTCTTTCGCAGACTACAGGTTTAAGGGCAGAGATTTATCATCTAAAGTGATAAATGATGAAAATTGACAATCCTTATTTTAATGCTTAAAATATTATCAGAAAGTTCCATTTCTGTTTCTAGGAGTTATGTTGATATGCCATTTTGCTACTATAATGATGTATTTACTCAACTTTAATGCTGAAGCGTGTGTATTGTATTTTTTTCCTCATGACTTGATATTAACAAATGACACTATTTCCTGTACAGGAAACTGCTATGAAAGCAGGAAACCATATTTCGATGATTACTTTCCTTATCCTTTAGCTTTTTTGCAAGCTGCTTAAATTTGAGTCATATCACCTTCAGTCTCCAACTATAATCTGAAAATTTACATATAGCAACACGCTTTTAATTTGAGCTGAAACTGAATATTCCTAATCATTATGCAAGCTGTCCAGAGTTGAGAGTAGACAACTAGATTTACTAAATGGGTTAAAAATGTAGGCAATCTAATTGGTCAACTGAAACCACGTCACCATGCAGCATTCGTTCCTACCACATCTAACATGACAAGAAGTTCCCATCAAAATGTGATAAACCATTGCTAAAAGTGATAAAGCACGGCTAAGTTGTGCCCATCCGTACAAGTTAAGGCACTATGATATGCACAAAGTTTCATAAGGCAAGGACATTGATATGCGCATTAAGATGCGCTTTAAACCGTTTGCCTCACCCTTGATGATGTCATTCAATAAAGCAAATGGCCGTCTCCATGACTTGGAGATTCAAAACTTACTAATGAATAAGGCTGTGGTTTTGTTAAGTCGAAATTAAAAACTTATGAATAGAAAACGTTGTGGTGGTTACTCAAATTCCTAGTTGAGAGATTGAATACTTACTAATGAATAAGGTTGAGGTAAATGCCTAAATTCATAGTTAAGAAATTGAATACTTACTAATGAATAAGGTTGCGGTGGTTGCCAGAACTCATAGTTAGAGACTACATACTTACCAATGAATAAGGTAGGGGTGGTTGCCAGAATTCATAGTTAAGGGGTTTGATACTTACTAATGAACAAGGTGCTGATGGTTGTCTAAATTCATAGTTAGAGATTACAATACTTACTATTTATAAGAGGGTGGTGGTTGCCAGAATTCATAGTTAAGGGGTTTGATACTTACTAATGAATAAGGTTGCGGTGGTTGCCAGAACTCATAGTTAGAGACTACATACTTACCAATGAATAAGGTAGGGGTGGTTGCCAGAATTCATAGTTAAGGGGTTTGATACTTACTAATGAACAAGGTGCTGATGGTTGTCTAAATTCATAGTTAGAGATTACAATACTTACTATTTATAAGAGGGTGGTGGTTGCCAGAATTCATAGTTAAGGGGTTTGATACTTACTAATGAACAAGGTGTTGATGGTTGTCTAAATTCATAGTTAGAGATTACAATACTTACTATTTATAAGAGGGTGGTGGTTGCCAGAATTCATAGTTAAGGGGTTTGATACTTACTAATGAACAAGGTGCTGATGGTTGTCTAAATTCATAGTTAGAGATTACAATACTTACTATTTATAAGAGGGTGGTGGTCAGCACTCAAAATACACAGGGGCGGTGGGCGATTCGCCCCCATGAGCTACATAATCGCCCCCGTCAGGTTGCTCACGGGGGCGATTGCAAAATTAAAAATCGCCCCCGTGGAATTATAAAATAAAGATTATCTTTTCTGTTATAACTTTAACACAATATTGAGTTTCAATTTTCAAACCTTAAACCAATGAAATGGAACTTAGATTAGCGTGCAAGATTTCTCGTTTTATGAGTAGGCCTATTATTACCGATTCAGCTCGCAACTGCAGTGCTGCCGTCAGCAGTGGTTATAGGCCTACTGCGCCGTTAGTAGCGGTACGTATGCAAGCTGCCGCGCCATGTCTGCTGGAGCTGGAGGCGATTGTGCAAGGACAGAAACATGGTCATGGAGAAGTTTTTCGTTGTGAAAGCGTTAACCCGCTGAAATCTGGTGATTTCAAATGACCAGCAAATAATGAACCTCGACCAGTAAATCAATATTAGGGACTTTTAGATTTGCACGATGAGAACGTTGACTGCAATGTGTGACCTCCTTTTAAGGCAGTGTCAGGGCTTAAAAGGACGTCACACGTCCACGTCCACGCAAATCTAAAAGTCCCTATTGAGAAGAAGAGGAAGACCAAGATGTCATGGACTGATATGGTAACATGGGCAGATCTACCGGGGGGGGGGGGGGGGGGGGAGGGGGGGGGTGTTAAGGGGTTTAACCCCCTCCTCGCACCCCCCCCCCCTGGCCCCCTTGGGCTGCCAAGTGAAAATGTGCTATTAAAGCGGGGGGGGGGGGGGGGGGGGATGCTGGAGAGGAGGAGTACTAATCTATTTTATTTTTTTCAGGGGGGGGGGGAGTGAAGCGCCGTTTTAGCATGACTTTCTTTTTAACTCTTACTTTCACCTATCTCAGATAACCCTAAGTTTTTGGTTGCTGCTTTATATGTAGTTGATAATGCATGATTAAAATAAAGAGTGAGAGAGAGAGAGAACCACCATCATTTTGCAATGGTTCATGCAGGGTTCGTGTAATGTACATTTGAAACCATTTCTTAGCGTCTCAACCCTAAAAAAATAACAAAACTATTTTTGAGGAAAAGCATTATACCGAATTAAATAAAGAATAAAAGCTTTATATTGGATCAAACTAATACTGATACGGGCTAAAGACAATGTATTTGTATTTGTATAGAGGTATTCCAAAATGATATTCTGATATTCAACATTTGTTCTGGTATCATATACGCATAATACAACTGATCTTTATGATTTCTTAACGTGACATAGCTTCTTCTCCCCCTGCAAACAAAAAAGAAAACAAGGTTATTTAATAAAAGGATCATGAGACAAATAATCATTGTGATTCAAATTGAAGCAAGGATTTTTTTGAATAAGCAATGCTTTTCACCAGAATCTTCTTTGTAAATCTCAGTCATGCAAATCTGCCACTGTGTTGTAAGATCACTTTCAGATTAGGAGAAGTGTATTCTTTAATGAGTATTTTACATTGAATGGAACGTCTCAACTCAGTAAGCATGGCTGAGATTTGTAAAAGTTGTTTTTACAAAGAAGATTCGGGTGAATAGCAGTGCTTATTCAAACAAATATTTGCATCAATTTGAATCACAATCATTATTTGTTGCTTAATCCCTTTTAATGACCTTGTTTTCTTTCTCGTTTGCAAGGGGAGGAGAAGATATATCACGTTAAAGACATCATAAAGATCAGTGTTGTATGCGTATATATTATATACACAGGCCAGTAACAGCTATGTAGCTTGTAAATTTGTAAGAGGGAAAATACTGATTGAAATGATAATGATGAAATAGCAAATAATTGAGGAGTATCATAGGTACCAATTCAATGGATATTTGTATAAAAAAGAGCCCCCGTCAGTCCTAAAAGAGCCCCCGTGAGAAGGCTCACGGGAGCTCTTTTTTTGGGGGGGGAAGAGCCCCCGTGGACAAAAAATTAATTTGAGCCCTGGTGGTGGTTGCCAGAATTCATAGTTAAGGAGTTTGATACTTACTAATGCATAAGGTGGTGATGGTTTCCTGAGTTCATAGTTAGAGACTACATGACCACCAATGAATAAGGTTGTTGTGGTTGCCAGAAACCATAGGTAAGGGATTTGATACTTACTAATAGATAAGGTGATGTTGGTTGCCCAAATTTATAGTAAGAGACTACATACCTACTTATGAATAAGGTAGGGGTGGTTGCCAGTAATCATAGTTAGAGATTGAATACTTACTAATGAATAAGGTGATGCTTTTCTGAATCCATATTTAGAGATTTGATACTTACTAATGAATAAGGTGGTGTTGGTTTTCTGAATTCATGGTTAGAGATTTGAATACTTACTAATGAATAAGGTGGTGGTGGTTGCCTGAATTCATGGTTAGATATTTGATACTTACTAATAAATAAGGTGGTAGTGGTTGCCTGAATTCATAGTCAGAGATCTGATACTTACTAATGAATAAGGTGGTGGTGGTTGCCTGAATTCATAGTTAGAGACATATGTATACATAGGAGTGAACATGGGATCCCCAGTCATCTCTGCATCTCCTGGTTCATCATCTCGTATATCCACTCCTCCAAACACACATTCTGCATAGCTCGGGGGTGCTGTATGAAAGAAAACATGTACTTGATTAGTCACATACTCAGTAATATATACTCTGTAATATAAATTATAATATTCGGGGGAACTTTTTTAAACAAGGCCACCATGGGCTTTTCGAACGAACGAACGAACTTAAATAAACTTATCACTTATCATCAACAAAGTTTTAACAATTCTCAATCAGATTGAAGCCTCACATTTTTAAAGAAGTTTAGACACTGTGGAAAGATGGTTCAAATAATGACCCTCTATTCCCTGAAAAAAGACACAAATGTACATGTCATTAGAGCAAAACAAGTGAACCCTCTAATGATTCTTAGATATCTCTCTGAAATGACTCTGCTCTGCCTACTCCCCACCACCAAAAAAACTGACTTTTGCTGATCAATCACAACTCTTCCCATAATAACCAGGCAATCATAATTTTGTGGTTAACTGCAGCAATTGCGGTTGATTCTGAACTAACATACATCTTTTGAAGACAACTAGGACCATTGACTTGGTATTCCTGAAGACCTGAATTAGAACAGCAATTCTAATATTAAATGAGCCTTTTTTTTTTCTTGAATTACATAATTAAATGTAAACGTCTTTAAGAACTATCTCAATACAAATTATTTCATTCACCCTTTAAAATAATTGTATTTCAATGGTCAGAATGCAAATTGCATTTAGTATGTGTTGTTAGGCAGGGCAAGCTATAAAGATTGTGACAATTGACAATCAATTATTCTAAAACAGGTGAATGAAAGATTTATGCACTGACTTTGATTACATTAGAAAAATAACTATTGGCTGACATATTAACAATTCATTTGAGATCTAGAAATGAACTTTCATACCTTCTCCTTCTGAGAGTGGTGGTGAAGGGTAGATACCGGGATAGGACACTTCTATACCGCTGCTTCCTACCCCTAAGACATCAAAGGGGGTGTAGGGCGGGGCTCTGAGGGGCACAGTTCCAACCACAATGGATAGATGTAGATAGAGGTTCATGGCTCCTGTGATATCTAGACATATCTGTGGAGGAATCATAAATGGTGTCAACTTTAGTGTCATCGACTACATATGGCACAACATTCCATTTGGTAATTAGAACTGTGTAGGGTTGGCAATAATATTTATTATGACATTCTTTGTATCTAAATATTCAATGATTTAATCTGAATGGTTCAACTCATTTTAATAATAGAAGGAAATGTAATACTATTGTCTGTTGTCTGTTGAGAGTAATACAAGGGCATACAGAGTTAATGCCCTTCTGGCTCTCAACAGATGATGAGATTATGGAAAACGTCAATAAAGCAGTTCAACAGTGTTCCCAGCATATCATTTTCCCCTACTTTTTCCCACGATATCAGTTTCAAAGTTCCAAGATCATCATTTCAACTTATTTCCTTGTTGGCACATTGCCAGTGAACAGTAGTTGCACTAAAAAGCCTCCAAAGCCATTCATTAATACATTGACAAAATATAACACACTGACTACTCTCTTCTTTGGGGGTGTTAAAATTCACAAATATTTGCCAGATTTTCGGGGAGTCAAACTCATCTAGATGTACTTGTATCAATGAAAGAAAGCAAGCTATTACAGGTACTTGTAGATGCTCCAGAATCCATACATGTCTATTCTATTCCGTAGAGCACGGGTGACCAACCCGCGGAGCATTGAAGAAGTAATAATAAAAATAGCTCATAAATGAAATGCGGCCCGCATAGCAGCAATGAAATAGGGTAAATATTTACAAACAGCTATCACTATTTCCATAATTTGTTCCCATCATTCACAACATATTGAATCGTTACGTGGTTGATACAAAATTTCTCAAATTTCCTCTCATTACATTACATTAAAGACATTAACACCCGGGGGGGGGGGGGGGTACTCACATATTAGGACATACGGGGGTGTGCCGCTCTAATGGGTGACTTTGTCACAAAAAAATCCCTAAACATGGGTCCCACTTCTAACAAAAATACCATTAAAAATGGGTCAGTTTCTTCGATATTTTCAAAATTTTCGGGTGTTTGCAATGCAAACACTCGAACTTCCGAAAAACACCCGAAAAATTGTGGAAAATGGGTCTTTTTTTTTAGAAAAATGACCCCTAATAATGGGTAGGGGTTTCGAGGCTTGAGCGGCACACCCCCGTCCAAACCAACTGTGAGTACCCCTCCCCCCCCCCCCCCCGGGAATTAACATCACTCTTGCTGTGTTAATTTCAGTTTGTACATATAAAAATTAATGTTGTGAATCGAGAAATATGATTGAAATGTCATACTTGTCTTGAAACTTACAGCCCTTTTCTCCCTATTGAATTTTCTCATGAATCTTAATCGTAAACTGGATAGTCCCCTTCCTTTACATGCACCGCCTTCAATGAGGTTTTTCTTTAATGATTTTGTTGTATGCTTGTTTGTTTTTGCAAAATTGCAGGTGTGTACACGTATTGCATGAGTGTTTTTTTTTGGGGGGGGGGGGGAGACTACCTATGGCCCGCCAAATTATGCCAAGCGTTAGCTGTGGCCCGCAAGCTTTAAAAGGTTGGCCACCCGTGCCGTAGAGGGTTTAGTTTTATTCAACTTGAACAGTTTTTTTATCATATCCCAGACAGACCTAAATATGTTCAGATGAGTACATTTCCTCTGAGATAAAGATTACTAATTGTTTGTTTTATTTCCGAAAATCATCATAAAAAACAATAACACAATATAACAAAATCAAAGACTTATATAACAATGATAGAATGATAAAACGGTTGGATAGTCCATTTCAGAGCCATTAACCTAATGGCTCTGTTCTTCCATGGAGTCCAATAAACTAATGATGACCTTTTGCAAAACTTTTTTTTTTCCACCAGGCGTCTGTTAACAGGTTGTCAAGATTTTTGTTTCTAGTTTATGTTTGGCTCAGCGCAAGGCCTTCAGTCTGACGAGTTTAAGACCGGTTTTTGTTTCGAGCTACTGTACTATATACTCTGCTTACCGTAAGGAAATACTCCAGCTTTATTATGCCACAATTTGTTAGCGTAGGTGTGATTGGCGGGATTTTCAAGAGTTTATTGGTCCAGTTTTCAGTCCTCCTGCCCCGAATGGTATTCCCCTGCAGACCAGCTACAGCGTTACGTACAGATCTTGACTTCCCGTCGGCAAAGAATGTGGTCCTCTGGTAAAGAGTAGCACGAGGTTTGATGCGTCGGGCAGAACCGTTCTGAAACTCAGCTGATATGGCGATGGATTCTCCTGCAAGAATTCAAGAATTGACATGAGCCGAAACACACTTCTGTCTTGTTTATTAAGTATTCCAACAATCTTTGCTTTCTTATTTCTCATAAATACATATTTTGTGGAGATTATAGGTTGAGTTGGATAAACTTTTTACTTTTACTTGAGTTTTCATACAATCCATGGAATGAGAACATGATGACATTCTGACTATAACGCCCCTCAAAACACTGATCCTAGGATACCTACCACAAGGCCTCAACACACCAGGGCTCTGTTTCACAAACTTGTCATCAGTGACAGATGACAGTCTTTGTTATAAGCTACTAAAATCCTTGCTTCTGGTTGGTTATCAAGTTTATCAACAGATTTGTCACTAATTTTTGTAATTTGTCTTTGAAAAAGGTTTTGTGAAACAGGTCCCTGCCCTCAGGACAGCTTCTTTCTGGGACCACAACTCCCACCCCCCTCCCCCTCATCCTCCATCAGATCACCCAGACAACTACATATGCACACTCTAATTGACTCCTTTTTGTTTTTCCCTTTCGTAGTTGTCTGAGGGAAAGTAGCTGAATTATTAAGAAGTCCCAGGGATGTAGATGTCATGTGGGTACTTGTATATGTAAGCAGCGCTAAAAATACACGGGGGCGGTGGGCGATTCGCCCCCGTGAGCTACATAATCGCCCCCGTCAGGTTGCTCACGGGGGCGATTGCAAAATTAAAAATCGCCCCCGTGGAATTATGAAATAAAGATTATCTTTTCTGTTATAACTTTAACACAATATTGAGTTTCAATTTTTAAACCTTAAACCAATGAAATGGAACTTAGATTAGCGTGCAAGATTTCTCGTTTTATGAGTAGGCCTAGTTATTACCGATTCAGCTTGCAGTGCAAATACCGCAAGCAAAAGAGAAAACAAGGTTATTTAATAAAAGGATCATGTGACAAATAATCATTGTGATTCAAATTGATGCAAGGATTTTTTTTTGAATAAGCAATGCTTTTCACCAGAATCTTCTTTGTAAAAACGACTTTTACAAATCTCAGCCATGCAAATCTGCCACTGTGTTGTAAGATCACTTTCAGATTAGGAGAAGTGTATTCTTTAATGAGTATTTTACATTGAATGGAACGTCTCAACTTAGTAAGCATGGCTGAGATTTGTAAAAGATGTTTTTACAAAGAAGATTCGGGTGAATAGCAGTGCTTATTCAAACAAATATTCGCATCAATTTGAATCACAATCATTATTTGTCGCTTAATCCCTTTTAATGACCTTGTTTTCTTTCTCGTTTGCAAGGGGAGAAGAAGATATGTCACGTTAAAGATATCATAAAGATCAGTGTTGTATGCGTATATATTATATACACAGGCCAGTAACAGCTATGTAGCTTGTAAATTTGTAAGAGGGAAAATGCTGATTGAAATGATAATGATGAAATAGCAAATAATTGAGGAGTATCATAGGTACCAATTCAATGGATTTTTGTATACAAAAAGAGCCCCCGTCAGTACTAAAAGAGCCCCCGTGAGAAGGCTCACGGAAGCTCTTTTTTGGGGGGAAGAGCCCCCGTGGACAAAAAATTAATTTGAGCCCTGTATGTAAGTGTCCACAGCCAAATCCTGCTCGGATTCATTAGTTGTTCATTATCTTGAGGATAATCGCCCTGATCCAGAATAATCTTCATTATCTAAAGATTTCCTGAACACTAAAAATAACATCTACAATACATCGTCAATACACCCTTTTCACCATTAAAGGAATTAGGTATCTTTTTCTCAGATTCTAAACAAAATCCTGGATTTAGCTCATGCTGCAATCATAATTATAAAACTTTAATTCAGTCTAACTTAGTTCAGTCAGGAATTCCATTTACATGCCGATCGCCCGTCTGAATATCAAGATATTTATGGTTGAACTACAGTCTATTGGGGAAAATGAGTATGGTAGCACCAGTCACTCAAAGATTTTTACTTTTTGAGGCACTTCACGATCATTTTGAAGCGCAATTTTTATAGGGCTTCAATATTACACCATATCACAGACACTGATAACACGTAGGGCAATGCATCTCAGATTTTACATTGTTATACAATGCCTTTACATACCATTCCCAACTTGTTATTTCATGTCCATTGAAAGAAACAAACAAACAAGAAAAGGACATTTTAAAAAAGTTCTACCTGGACAGTATCCTTTGCGATCAGTCTTGATTGACATGCTGATATTACCCGCCACACACAGTCCACAGCATACAGTCTTTTCTTGAAAACCTGTCTGTGGAGCCTGTAAGAGGAAAGAAACCAGTGAATTACATTACACTTCACATTTTATATGCAGGTGCAAGATTTTAACGTTGTATCATCATCATCGATTGAATCATAAAAGTATTCAAAACCTAGAACTTATATGTACAAAGAACTTTTTAATCACATTCATACTTCTCATTCTTGATCAAAACTGAGGATTCCTTTCTCAGAAGCTCACTTGAGTAATTATGACCCATGTTTCCATGGCACCAATGTAATTTCAAACTTTAAATTTATGAGACCTCAAAGTTTTAAATAAATAAATAACAAAGACAAGGGTTCACAAAGCACCAAAATGACCTTGACACCTCAGAAATAGAGGTGTCAAGACCGACATGTACAAACCGGAATTGTGCTCATTATACAACAAGCTGGCTAAACCTTGAAGTCAAATGCATCCCCATGGCACTTCACTTTGCGTGAGGAGTTCCCCCCCCCCCCCCTACAATTTTTGCATTAACAACTTTGGTATTTAAAACTGAAACCTAACTTTAAGTTATCCAAAACCATGATTGTATCTGCAAATTCTCAACAAGAAGAGATAACATCATCACTTTCAATCTGCTTATCTGCATAAAAGAACTAAGAATATAGCAATAACTTAATACACTTGTAGGTCATCATTAGATAGTGTCAGCACTCAAATTTATGAACTCATTGCTTTTATTTTTTTATTTTTTATTTTTCATCCTTCATCTTTTCCCTCAATGTCACTAGGTGATGCTCATTAACATACAGCATGTACATGTACCAAATTTTCTTTTTGATTATTACCAACAACAAAAGATTTTCATGAAAATTAATCCAAAGTTAAATAACAGATTCCCTGAAAATGGGCGATGTCAATCTGTTGTTGTTGCAAAAACAAAGAAATAGATGTCGCAGTTTTCAGCTCATCTCCAAACAAAAAGCAGAATACTGATGGCTTCTCCTAATCCCACCCACCCACGATGGTTGTATGGTAGTGAATCCTTCTCAGAGGTGAATCATTATTGAGTTCATCTCAATTTGCATTCTAGACTTCTGAGAAGGTTGTTTTCTACTGCCTTGAATATATTAAGCATACACTGTATCCCTTCTTCAGTAAAGGATTCAGGTGCCAAGTTTTTTGTTTCAATAAATTACATCGTGCCAAATTCTCCTTTAATAGGGGTCAGTGGAAAGGAGAGTTTACATCTAAATCAACAAATCAAATATTCTTGCTAAAAAAAAATGAAGCTAGTAGAAAAAGAAAACTAATTAATTTCATGTACATTTACATCATAAACTCAAAATGAAACAAACTTTGTTTGCATAGAAATCGCTCCAATATCTTCACAGTGGTATATAATATTATGAAAAATTTAAAACAGAATTTATTTTCCTCCTACCTACATGTATATATTCATGTATACAGGTAGAGACATTTTATACTATCTTATAAACTCACTTTAAACATGCATCCCATCATAATATTGTCTATTGAGAGTTACAAGGGCATAAAGAGTTAATGAGATGATGAGATGATGGAATACACATTATACATGTATCCATTCATCAACAAAGCAGTTTACAGTGATAGTGAGCACTAAAAATAAAAAAGGTTCCCCCCCCCCTCAACCACGCCCCCCTTGAGTGAAACAAAAAAAGAGGATTCGGGGAAAAAATGGCATCTAACAACATTCCCCCCTTTTTGAGTAAGACAAATTGGGAAATAATAGGGAATAGAGAAAATAAGGGAAAAAATCGGGTAAAAAAAAAATTAAAAACAGGAAAAAAATCAGGAAAAAATCAGGAAAAAATCTAAAAAATCGGGAGACTGATTTAAACAGTGTTCCAAGCATATCATTTTCCCCTACTTTTTACCTGAAGTGATTTTCAAAATTCCAAGACCATCATTTCCCCTTTATTCATATCCAGTCTCCTCTTCGCATGTATTTCCTCTCCCTTGAATCCTTTATGTATTTCCAGGTTGACATGTTTACCAGTGCACAGCAGTTGCACTAAAAAGCCACTAAAGCCATTCATTGATACATTCGTTAAAACTCCCACATATTTGCCTGACTTGAGTGATTTTCTTTCTTTTTTTAATCCCAATCCCAATTCCTCTTCATTTCAACCTACATATAATTGTCCTAGAACCCCTTTATTCCTATCCAGTCTCCTCTTCGCATGTATTTCCTCTCCCTAGAGTCCTTTATGTATTTCCAGGTTGACATGTTTACCAGTGCACAGCAGTTGCACTAAAAAGCCACTAAAGCCATTCATCGATACAATAACACTGACTACTTTTTTCTTTGGGGTCGTTAAAACTCCCATATATTTGCCTGACTTGAGTGATTTTCTTTTTTTTTTTATCCAAAACTATTTCAGTGACTGGAATGAAAGGTAACTCATATTCCATGTGATTCTCAGCATATAGTAGATGTACATGTACATGTACCATAAATCTCTGTGTATAAGACGCACCCCTATATTTTGGGCCAAGAAAAAGAAAAAGAAAATCTTCTTCTTTTTGTCGGCTGCAAGCCAGGTCCGTGTTAAAAAACCCATGCGGGGAAGGACTTTCATTTAACTGCGAGGTGCAGTTGAAGGCGCAGATTTGTGCTTGTGAACTTATCACAAATAATAGTAACACTAACAATGTCGTTTTTAGAAGAATGTGTAAGATTATTAATGTAAATTAAAAACAGTAGAGGACCTAGGATAGAACCTTGTGATACGCCGTGTGTAATAGAAGAAAAATTGAAGGAATTATTATTATAAACTAGTAAACTACATACATGTACCGGTATTGAGATCTATTAGAAAGATTACTTTCAAAACAAGATGACAGACAAATTGGAGTGTTGTTCTAGTTTCCGAGTGGTGAGTCAACACACCGATTACTGAGCTGGGAGACATTACCAGGTGGAGGGGCATAAATCGAAACTTGAAAGAAAAAAAAAGAAAAGAAAAAAAATTGTACCTTGTATAAGACGCACCCCCGACTTTCAATTTTTTTTGGCGGCAATAAAGTGTGTCTTATACACTGGAAACCCTGTCCAACTTCTGCCCATACTTTGTTAAACAATCAGGAACGATAATACTCACCAGAAGTTGAGGTGTATTGATATCGATGTGATCAATGACTGTGAATGCTCTCTTGGTCTTGCTATTAAAGCCCCATGGTTTGTCAATCTCAGCCTTTAACCAGTATCGTATCCTACCATACTTTCCTTCAAACGATGTGGCAACTCTCCTGTAAACACAGACAAAACTAGATGGAATTCGACTGCGCGCAGTCGAAAATGATGCCTCCGTTATAGAGCAATTTTACAAACCAAAACAGAAAAAAAAAATGAATTCACGTTCAATGGTAATCCATTGACAGGTTCTCAGAATATTGTGATTACAAGCAATTTCTCATATACATATATGACCCTTTGATCTTTGACCTCATGACCATAAAATCTACTCAGTTCATTGGCTCTGCAAGATGTTCTGAGTTAAATAGTAATCCATCTGTCAGTTCTAATGAGAATGCGTTCACAAGCTATTTTTGCATACATAATGGGCCCATGACCTTTGACCTTTGACCTTATGAACCAAGAATCTACTCAGTTCATTGGCTCTGCAAGTAACAAACATGACCTAATTTTGGCATGAATCCATCAATCGGTTCTTGAGATAACGCGATCACAAGCTGTTTTTGCATTCATAATGTGCGCTGTGGCCTTTGACCTTTGACCTACGTGCTCCAAAATCTAATCAGATTGTCTTCCTATGGTGATACACACTATCATTAAGTTTGAAGTTTTTACATCTCCAGTGGTTCTTGAGATATCATGATAACAAATCTCAATGTATGGAATTTCATAAGTTGACCTCTGTGACCCTTGACCTTTGACCTACGTGCTCCAAAATCTGCTAAGATTGTTTTCCTATAGTGATACACACTATTACTAAGTTTGAAGTTTAAATCTCCAGTGGTTCTTGAGATATCATGATAACAATCTCAATGTATGGAATTTCATAAGTTGACCTCTGTGACCCTTGACCTTTGACATACGTGCTCCAAAATCTAATCAGATTGTTTTCCTATAGTGATACACGCTATCACTAAGTTTGAAGTTTAAATCTCCAGTGGTTCTTGAGATATCATGATAACAATCTCAATGTATGGAATTTCATAAGTTGACCTCTGTGACCCTTGACCTTTGACATACGTGCTCCAAAATCTAATCAGATCGTCTTCCTATGGTGATACATACTATCCTTAAGTTTGAAGTTTAAATCTCAAATGATTCTTGAGATATCGCGCTAACAAACTCAATACAAGGAATTTCATAAGTTGACCTCTGTGACCTGTGACCTTTGACCTACGTTCTCCAAAATCTAATCAGATCGTCTTCCTATGGTGATAAATACTATTCCCGAGTCTTAAGTTTAAATCTTCAATGGTTCTTGAGATATTGTGATAACGGTCAAACGGGACGGACGTACGGACGGACGTACGGACGGACGGACGGACGTACGGACGGACGGACGGACGGACGGACGGACGGACGGACGTACGGACGGACAACCCGAAAACATGATGCCTCCGGCACCACCTTCGGTGGCGGAGGCATAAAAAAATAAAGTCAATTCTATGAACTCAGGCGCTGATGCACAAGAGAGTTTTACTATGTAGAGCAGTTGTGGTCTAGTGGATAAGTCACCCGACTGCAGATCACAAGGTACGGGTTCATGTCCCGTGGCGGCACTAATGTCCTTTGGCAAGATATTAATCTACATTTGCCACTCTCCACCCAGGTGTCAATGGGTACCTGATATGCTTGAGCGCTAGTTACTTTGGCAGCTCGGCTACAACCAGGGTTATACGTGTACAGTGCCATGAGTGTCAGAGCCTGGCAGATATTTAAAGGGCAAAAAGGCCCTAGAGATTTTCAAATTTAAACAGAGGACCCATGCATACAGACCCCATGAAGAAAAAACAAATAAAATAGGGGCACGTCCTTGATGGTTTACTACTAACACATGAAAAAAAAAGTTACTAGTACTTCAAGAATGTACTAAATAGGACATGTACATTGTAGCTTAAAATTCCATGAATAACAATATTTATAAGCAATATTGCTATAAGCGTGTCATAAAAATCCATACACCCAGCATCAATAATGTTAATTATTGCTTCAGGTTATGTTTGAAAGAATTAGGGTACATGTATGCCGTACCAAAAAAAAAATAATGAAATGGCACAGATAATGATCATGTCATTCTCTCCTGCAATCTACATTCAATATTGTGTGTTCCCCTCCACCCCCCCCCCCTTTAGTTTTTTTCTAATATTATCTTTGTTTAATTTTTGAACTAAAATATGCTAGTTTCCGTTCAGTTTTGTACTTATTAAATGCAGGTACCAGTTTATAAAATGTTTGATTGAATCCTAATCAAATTATTGGCAGAGAGCTTATGCATACCAGTAGTATTCACCATCAACTGACTTCAGAATTTACAAACAAGCATAAACAATTTTGTTATTCTTTACTTCCATGCATGTATTAGCATTGCAATGGTGTAGAGGTGTTGTGGTCTCATCAGTCTCATGGTTAAGTCACCACACTGTTAACCACATGTGGTATTGGATTCGCAGAATTCAATTCAGTCTGGCTTGGTTTCCGTGCGATACCTTTTCTATGCGAGTGCTTACACATGTGTTATCTAGTCTACTACTACAACTACTGTAATAATATTCTGTGTTTATATAGCGCTCAATACATCGATCCAACGATGTGCCTAAGCGCTTAACAGATATATATTATTACCCCGGTCATTGGATTCAGGCTTACCCGCACACAATGTATGCACATTTTTCACTCCCTGGATAGCATTCCAGCCAGTCGCCATTTTACAAGTGCACACTTGCTCCTCCAACCACTGAACTTTCGCATCCCACCGGGTACCCATTTAACACCTGGGTGGAGAGTAGCAAGTGCAGGTTAATATCTTGCCAAAGGATATTAGTGCCGTGTCGGGATTCGAACCCTCGACCTTCGTATCTCCAGTCAAGCGCCTTAAACCACTCGACCACGACACTCAACAAGACGTTGTACTGTTCACTGAGAATGTATCTAAATTATAACTGTTTGTAGAAGTAATACTTGAAACTTGGATTCTGAATATCGTATAGCAACATACTGTAGCAACCTTTACGTCAAAAGCTTGGTGATTGGTACAATTTTAAATTGAGCAGCACATACCATTGGATACCTAACAAGGCAATGCACACGTATTAATGCATGTACATGTGTGTACATTTAGCCATCAACATATAGGATGCAATGAATGCACTTTAATTGAGACATAAAAAACTCAGTCACACGAACGAGACAGACATCACGACGACTACACACCAAACAAATTAATTGTGTTGACCCCAATGGCCCAAAATCAGTCAGTGTAGTGTCGGTTAGGCAGTGTAACTGAGGAATGCATGTAATATTGTCACAATAAAAGTGTATTAACCTTAATCATGTGTGAATGTATGTTCCTATCTCCATTTTAAATCTCCTTGAATATCGGATTGGGGTAGGATCATTAAAGGCTTGTTCAGTTACGGCACAGTAAACCACTGCAAAAAGTTACAGCGGATCTTTTATGTGTAAATGAATGGCAACCGCGCATAACAAAGGACTTGAACAAATTTACTGAGCTCTGTGTAATAAGATACAGAAATGTGAGGCAAATTACACTCATGTCATCTTTAACAAAAATCTGCTGCAGTTTTGCATCACCATACCTGAACGAGCCTCTATACCGTAGGTTTTACTCTATATGCAGGACCCTTAAAATTGCAAAATACTGAACAGAACGTTGTAATAACCAATTGCTACGACCTGGGGAGTGTTTCATAAAGACTAAGATCGACTTTAAGTTGGGCTTTACTATGGCAGGCCGTTCATGCTACTAGTTCCTCTAACCATTCCTGGCATTGGTTTCTCAAGGGACGTACAAATCGTGGTCACAAATCTACAAAATTTACCTTTTTTGATAGTTCATTATTGAAGAAAATTGGGGTTTCTAAAGATCACAATTGAGAGACAAATGATGAGAGCAACCAGTGGCATGAACGGCCTGCCATAGTTAAATCCAACTTAAAGTTGATCTTAGTCTTTGTGAAACACCCCCCAGGTTCAGCTGAAGTGTTGGAGGTACATGTACAATTGTACATACAATTGTCCATAAGGGCAAATCCTAGGTATTATGCAATACAGGGTCCATATTGACAACAATTGTGTCACTTTCACTTCATATTCCATCTGATCCATTCATATTCCATTTGATCCACGATATAGCAGCATGATTGTTTTACTTGCACCGTGCACGTCACTGTTTTACTGTATAAAGAAATTGTACACCCTTTTGTTGTCTACACCTTCACCTGCTGTCACAACACATCCCATCCCAGTATAGCTTGGAAAGTATCAAGTATCTAGTAGGGTTACATGTATTTACAATATATACTACTACAATGATCAGATAAATATGAGATGTGGTCTGCTAAATATGGGACTAAATAACTTGTATTTTCCCATGTATAGTATGTTTAAAGGCAGGGTGTTCTACTGACACTTCTTCAGATTTATGTGCTGTCATCTAGTGCTCACGATGTCCCGATGTGTTGACAGCTATGTCCCACAATGCATTACTGACTGAAAAGCCTACTTGATGATAATGCTTGAGTACAGGAACCAGAAGTTGCTCCATGTAACCCTTCACCGAAAGATGACGCAATTGAGAATACATTACAGAAGTGGTAGCCATGGATGTCGGCAGAACCATCTATACACAAGAGTTTGGCCAACCCGGTTTGAGTTGGACACAATATGGCGACTACTGCTTCGTTGGGCAAGCACAAAACAAAAGAATATGTGCCATGTTGCGACCCAGTGAAACCAAGTTGGCCAAACTCTGTGTATAAATGGCTCTGGATGTCAGTAAAATACCCTGCCTTTAAGAACCTTGTTGTCGGTTCACATGTACTTACCCATATGGGATTTGAAAGCTAAATCTCAGTTCATGATGGCCTGCTCTCAGAATGGGATTACTCCCACCTTCATCTTCATCTACACAGGGAAGCAAAACAAAAAAATTGTACATGTAGTTATATCACCTCCATAAACTTTGTCTCAGATTCTGAAACAAAATCCTGGATTTAGCTCATGCTGCAATGATTATTATAAACCTTTAGGACAGTCAGAAACCCCATGACTTGAACAAGCCGATCGCCTGTCTGATTATCAAGATATTTACACTGTATGATTGAAATCGAAATCGAATTTTGAGTTTTCCTAACGGTTTTCATAACACTACAGTCTATTGGGGAAAATGAGTATGGTAAAACGGTTCACTCAAACTTTTTTTGAGGCACTTCATGATCATTTTGAAGCGCAATTTTTATAGGGCTTCAATACTACTCCATATCACAGACACTGATAACACGTAGGCTGTAGGGCCATGCATCTCAGATTTAACATTGTTAAACGATGCCTTTCAGAAGAGAGCAAAAAGATGACTACCAGTATTATCTCCCTTAGCAACCGACTAGAGGGCTTCCTCTCATCTGTATTGGAAACCCTAGCACCTGATTAATTGCCTTCAAAGTCCAGAAAGAAAATGTAGGGGAAAAAATCTACAAGATTTTTAACCTTTCATTTGTCACAACTCATTTTAAAACCAAACTCTACTTTTATTTATCGTTGGGATGTTTGTAATTTTATATATTTGTATTTTTTACTTGTATTTGTATTTTATGTGGTTTTAATGAGTGAATGGATTGAATTGAGTTCATTAATTAAGTCTATCCTTAGCAACCACCCTAGATGAGTTCATTACATCTCCCTTAGCAACCTTAATGAGATGCGCTCTTTAGGAACCCAAAAGAGGAAATCATTACATCTCCTGTAAAAAATATCAGAGTAAATTTTACTTCTCCTCAGTACATGACAACGATCTTTACAAAACTAAGATTGACTAATGTTTTTGATCAAAATCAATGAAGATTTGAAGATTATGAATTAATAACAAATCCATTCGACCTTTTCATATAATGACGAATCAATTTTATCAATTTTATTCATTCTGTTCCTGTATCAAGATAAATTTTGCAGACTAGAGAAACAACTGGTCCTCCTTTAATGAATGGGGTTTTGATACATGATGCTTAAAGATAATTCTGGTCATGCAATTACATTGTGAAAGAAAAGGTTTGGAATGGATCAGAAAACGTGGATCATGTAGCATGTAAGTATTGGTGTGTACTGCAAGGTTCTGGAGTCATCAAAATCATAATAAATTTGGCCGAGTCTTCGTAAAGAAACAAGCACTGTACACAGAAAGATGTTTATGGGACAATACAAATGGTGTCGGCCCTACTTACCTTGAAGCTTCTTATCTTTCTATGCTCATTACTTAGCCAGTATACATTTTCTATCAAAATTGTTTGGCAAATGACATATATTTGTAATCTTGAACATTCAGTGTAAGTTTCGTTTGATTCTGTGAGAATTCTTCTTTTTTTTTAACCAGAACTCAAGTTTATTTTTAACATTTTTTTCTCAAGGGGCCATTATGACTGTAAACTTACCTTTTCCAAACAAGACTTGTTTCATATAAAAGTACTCCTCCTCGGCATCATAATACTTGGTGTATGATCCCGTTTGGTGACCGCCACCTCTAGACTCACTCCAATGTACCTGAAAAAGGGATAGACAATAAAAGATGGGGGGGGGGGGGATAAGAAAGAGAGAAATTCTATAGGTATTTGAAGGAGGAAGATTTTGGGGAGATCTCATGGTAACGATATTATCTTCTTCTTCTTCTTCCATTTTGAGTACATACCTCTTTACAGAGTATTATCGTACTATACTGGGGTGTGTGCAGGTGGACCACTACACCGGGGTTTCCCCCTACTCTAAGATACAAATGAAAATATTAAATCAAATCATGGTTTTGCCTACATAAATATAATCTTGTGGGCCTACCGCATCATATTCGTTATTTTTATAAACTCTTTTGGAAATGATAAATACATGTAGGTAACCTGTCGCCTCGATATACTTTTTCGTTTTACGAAATATGTTAACTGCAAGAGGAAAAAGTTTAACGGCATTAGGTAACAGTACGAGACAAATAATGGAAGAAAGTAGTGAATACCTTTCATCTTGCACTCATCAGAGTACATCGAAACAATGAACTGAGAATAGTGATTAGTGTAAAAAGGCGTGCATGCTAAAGTATCAAATTGGCAAAGCAAACAATTCTCATTTTTGGGGTTCACCGCATTTATTTGCATTTTAGCCGGATCTTGTATGACAAATTCATGTAAAAGGTTAGTGGAACTATATTGTCAATCGCACCTTTATTAATTATCATCAATAAGATATGTACAGTAAGTCACTATCACTCTCATATCAACATTTCTTAATTTTAGTTGAATTCTTGATCGATTTCTTCTTCCTCTTCTTCCTTTTGAGTACAGACCTCTTTACAGAGTATTATCGTACTATACTGATTTCAAAGCGCTTTGTACGATGAGAAGAAAGGAGAGTCCGTCGGGTGCGGGAAGCCGGGATGGATTGGGGTGATTACAAATGCATTTTAGGTTTTGTTTACCTCCCTCTTCACGCAGGTGTATCTAGGGGTGCTTATTAAGGCTAGGTGATATCAATATCATATTTCATTATTATCACATTTTAAAAAAAATCTCAACAGAGCAGAGATCCAGTTCATACGGAGCCCCGGAAGTGACATGGAGAAATTTTTTTTTTTTCTCGTTTTCCTGAGATAAATTCTCGTTTTCCTGAGATAATTTTTCGTTTTCCTGAGATAAATTCTCGTTTTCCTGAGATAATTTTTCGTTTTCCTGAGATAATTCCCGTTTTCCTGAGATAAATTCTCGTTTTCCTGAGATAAATTCTCGTTTTCCTGAGATAATTTTTCGTTTTCCTGAGATAATTCCCGTTTTCCTGAGATAAATTCTCGTTTTCCTGAGATAATTTTTCGTTTTCCTGAGATAAATTCTCGTTTTCCTGAGATAATATTTCGTTTTCCTGAGATAATTCCCGTTTTCCTGAGATAATTCCCGTTTTCCTGAGATAAATTCTCGTTTTCCTGAGATAATATTTCGTTTTCCTGAGATAAATTCTCGTTTTCCTGAGATAATTTTTCGTTTTCCTGAGATAATTCCCGTTTTCCTGAGATAAATTCTCGTTTTCCTGAGATAAATTCTCGTTTTCCTGAGATAATTTTTCGTTTTCCTGAGATAATATTTCGTTTTCCTGAGATAATTCCCGTTTTCCTGAGATAAATTCTCGTTTTCCTGAGATAATTTTTCGTTTTCCTGAGATAAATTTTCGTTTTCCTGAGATAATATTTCGTTTTCCTGAGATAATTCCCGTTTTCCTGAGATAAATTCTCGTTTTCCTGAGATAATTTTTCGTTTTCCTGAGATAAATTCTCGTTTTCCTGAGATAATATTTCGTTTTCCTGAGATAATTCCCGACCAATACATGTTGCATAATGAATGTGAATAACTGAATACCAGGCGCGGATCCAGGGGGGGGCGAGCGGGCCTTGGCCCTCCCCCCCCCCCGCAAAAAAAAAAAAAAAAGAGAGAGAGAAGAAAGGAAAAGAAGGGAAAGAGAAAGAAGAGAAAAAGGGAAAGAAAGAAGAGGAAGAAGAAAAGAAAAGGGGGAAGAAGGAGATTGGGGAAGGCGAAAGGGCCTTGCCTCCCAGGCTGTTGACCCCCCCCCCCCCCCAATCAAAAAAATAAGAGAGAAGGAAGAAAAAAAAGAAAAAGGAAAAGAGGAGATACTGGCGTACTGATAGGGGGGACTTGGGGGAAATCAAATTCAAACGTGGTTTATTTCTAATTCCACAACGGTGGATTACAAATAATGCTGAAATGACATAATTTCCGAGATTTTTCCTCACTTTTTAGTTGATTCCTACTTGTCAGGGCCCGAGGTACGGCGGGGATCGGGAGCCCCGAGCCCCCCCCCCCCTACTTTTTTGAAAAAGTATATTAAAGAGAAATAAAATAGAATGAGAGCAAGAAAGAAAGAATAGTTAACTGCCAGTGTTGAAAAATAATGAGGCATCAAAATATGCTCATCTGACCGTGATTAATGCCTAAAACCCCTAAGCTTCCAGGGCTCTGCCCCCTGGATTTCACCTAGGGCCCTACGGCGGGCCCTTGGATGCTCATCTGACGGTAATTTAATGCCTAAAACCCCTGATATTTTGGGCTCCGCCCCCTGGACCCCACGCCAAATAGTGACGTGCCAGTCTCACAAAATAATAAGGTAAACAAAAAAATGTTCATCTGACCTTAATTAAACGCCTAAAACCCCTGAGCTTCCGGGGCCGGCTCCGCCGCCTCGACCCCCCCCCCAGGGGCCCTAAGACGGCCCCTGATTCAGACAAGGATTAAGAGTATAGAGAACGATACAACGCATCGTCTTCTTTCTCTAATAATATAATGAAACGTCAAAGCTTCGCGCAGGAGGGGAGGGGGGGGGGGACTGAATTCAGACAAGGATTAAGAATCGAGAACGGTACAACGATCGTCTTCTTTCTCTCATAATCTTATGAAACGTCAAAGCTTCCGCGCTTCGCGCGGGAGGGGGGAACCTGAATTCAGACGAGGATTCAGAGGCGAGAACGGTAATACGAATCTTTAATGATTTAATGAAAGGTAAAAGCTTCCGCGCTTCGCGCGGGATGGAGGGGGAACTAAATTCCGATGAGGATTATTTTCGAGAACGGTACAACGAATCGTCTATTTTCTCTAATGATTTAATGAAACGTAAAAGCGTCCGCGCTTCGCGCGGGAGGAGGGGGTTGGGGGAGAATCTAAATTCAGACGAGGATTATTTTCGAAAACGGTACAACGAATCGTCTTCTTTCTCTAATGATTTAAGAAAATTTAAAAGCTTCCGCGCTTCGCACGGGAGGGGGGAACCTAAATTCAGACGAGGATTAAGAGTCGAGAACTCGACAACGAATCGTCTCCTTTCTCTAATAATTTAATAAATCGTAAAAGCTTCCGCGCTTCGCACGGGAGGGGGGAACCTAAATTCAGACGAGGATAAAGAGTCGAGAACTCGACAACGAATCGTCTTCTTTCTCTAATAATTTAATAAATCGTAAAATTTTCCGCGCTTCGCACGGGAGGGGGGAACCTAAATTCAGACGAGGATAAAGAGTCGAGAACTCGACAACGAATCGTCTTCTTTCTCTAATAATTTAATAAATTGTAAAATTTTCCGCGCTTCGCGCGGGAGGGGGAAAACTAAATTCAGACGAGAATTATTTTCGAAAACGGTACAACGAATCATCTTTTTTCTCTAATAATTTAATGAAACGTCAAAGCTTCCGCGTTTCGCGGAGGAGGGAGGGGGAAAATCGCCCCTCCCTGCACCGACCCCCCCCCCCCCCCCCGCATTACGTCACTGTTGGTCACCATTACGTACCAACATTTGGCTCGCAAAATTTCAAATTTGGACCCCCCCCCTAAGAAATCCTGGATCCGCGCCTGCTGAATACCCCCCTAAAACTGGATTTAGGCCCTAGGCTGACGGCCGTCGGCCTCGTGGGCTGTCCCCTATTGTAATCGGGCAGTCTGTTAATAAAGTGTTCTTGAATCAAGATAGATTTATCATCCAAATTGGTATTGTACCTAAATTTGTACGAGTAAGACTAGTGTCTTTTATTTGTTAATTGCGCTCTTCGCTCGCTCGCAATTTACAGTAAATATATATGACATCGTACTCAGGGGGGGGGGGGGCATTCAGATGCCAAAACGTTATAAAATTAGAAGAAAATTGTATTTTTTCAATTCGTTTTAACTGTTCATTTTACAACGGAAATTATCTCAGGAAAACGAAATATTATCTCAGGAAACGAGAATTTATCTCAGGAAAACGAAATATTATCTCAGGAAAACGAGAATTTATCTCAGGAAAACGAAATATTATCTCAGGAAAACGAGAATTTATCTCAGGAAAACGGGAATTATCTCAGGAAAACGAAATATTATCTCAGGAAAACGAGAATTTATCTCAGGAAAACGAACAATTATCTCAGGAAAACGAGAATTTATCTCAGGAAAACGGGAATTATCTCAGGAAAACGAAATATTATCTCAGGAAAACGAGAATTTATCTCAGGAAAACGAAAAATTATCTCAGGAAAACGAGAATTTATCTCAGGAAAACGGGAATTATCTCAGGAAAACGAAATATTATCTCAGGAAAACGAGAATTTATCTCAGGAAAACGAAATATTATCTCAGGAAAACGAGAATTTATCTCAGGAAAACGGGAATTATCTCAGGAAAACGAAAAATTATCTCAGGAAACGAGAATTTATCTCAGGAAAACGAAAAATTATCTCAGGAAAACGAGAATTTATCTCAGGAAAACGAGAAAAAAAAAATTTCTCCATGTCACTTCCGGGGCTCCGTAAGTTCAACACGGCTCCAGGGAAATTTTTTGTCCAACTGTAAGAAAATTAATTTACCTTGGCCAGTCCACGCATGTAAATACGGATACCTCGCATTTTCATGTCCCCTCGGAGGTCCACAGCAACATGTCCTGAGACAAAATCTCCAGCTGTATACACATTCTTGTTGTTGTCTAATACAATGTGAAAATCCTTTAGCTTCACCATTTTGCATAATCACGCAGAGGTATATGCGAGCCCACAAGTCCTGGAACTAATTTGTAATAGATCTAAGCACTTATCGTTGAATCTGCTTGCTAGGGAACTGGTAGTAGTACCTAGGCCTAGTCTACAATTCATCAAACAATGTCTTGACAATGCCATTCAAATACCGTCTAAAAATCAATTCATGTGCATTTCTATTATGATTCAGCATCACAGCTCTGCTGTTCGCTTCCAACTCAGACTTGAGTCAAAGGCAAAAGCCCTCAAATATACATGAAGTTATTCAATAGTTATTCATGTCCTTGGATCCACTAATACAGGTGAGCTAAGCAGTTAGTTTTGGTTTTACATGGAACAGTTTCTCATTATGCTAGTGACAGTGATCAATAGAGCTCACTGTGCTGTGGTGATGTGCGAGATTGTAGAGTTTCGAAGGTTCGTCTTCGGATCAGATGCACAGAGACACACAGTTCAGTGAGACTGTTCGTTGTTGATGCTAATGTCAAAAAGAGATGTTGCTTTGTGGGATGATGATGGCTCAGCTGTGCCAAACAAAATTGAATCTCGTCAAAAACAACAGGTTTTGACTCTGCTCCAATCTGCAAATGACTACTTAAATGATAATCAGGCGGTTAAATATCAAATCCAATCAAAATCAGGTTCAGATCTGAGCGTCCTTTCTTCTCTTCCACTCCCAGCTGATTAAGATTTTGAGGATGTTAAAAGGATAAAATATCTAACGCTAGATGGCGTCTTGCATGAAATACATTGAGCCACTGAGACTCAGCAACCCAAGAATCTCTTCAACTAGACTATTTCAAAGAGGTCTAAATTTGATGAAAAGTGTGTTTATCATTAGATAAATACAACTTAAGAGAATCCCGTGAACTAAAACGCATTTACTTTACAGGCAGCATGCTGGATGTGAAAGGATGTTTCCCTATTGCCACTTAGTAGGTCCATGCTATTACCGAATTCGATAACTCAGACCAAAGACAACTCAGCCCAGCTGCAAAAACGGTCATTTTTTGTCATTTTTTCCTAACCCTAACCCCAACTCTAAACCTAACCCTAAACCTAACCCTAAGGCCAAAACAAAATAAATCATTTGGTTGTCCTCGACCGCCCACTCGTCATTTTCGGGCCGCTCGTATTCAATATTTTATTTTATTTTTATTATTTTTATTATTATTATTTTTTTTTTTTTTTTGGGGGGGGGGGGGGGGGGAGGCTTACATACCATTTTATGCATTTTGCAAGAATCAAAATGCATCCCGTTGCCAGTTTGGTCTTTTCGGTAAGCAATTCTGTTTTAATTAACTTGACTTTTTTTTTTCTTTCTATGTCAAAATGCCGTTCATTCAAATCAGGTTCTGAGCATTCTTTTTAAAAGATGCTGTATTTTAAAGCCAAAAATACTTTCTGTGTTGGTCTTGTATCAATTGTACAATATATGTTAAAAAAGATGATATTAAACTAGTCTTTTACCATATTAAAGTGTTTTATCGACTTCGTTTGTTTAAATGCTTGACATCCCAGTGATTTTTCTATTTTGTTATGGGAAAAATGAAATTAAAGAAAGACAACAACAAAAAATGAAATAAAAAATATATACAAAATATCAAAAGACCGCCCGCCCGCTCCTACTCCAGAAAAGCAATCGAGGACAACCAAATGATTTTTTTTTTTTTTTTTTTTTTTGGGGGGGGGGGGCTAATCCAAATAATTCTAGCCTTAAAGTCCGAGTTAGCCCGACTCCCTATTACCAACCTGCCCTGTATACGCGCATAATACCTGGATGGATGTGTATATGTACTCAATGTCAATGTACATACCCTGTAGTTTACAATAATCATTGTAATGTTCTCGCATTTTTTTTTTTTTTTTTTTTTTTTTTAAAACAAAAAATAAATTTTAAAATTTTAAAAATTAAAGGGGGGGGGGGGAGTTTTCACAAAAAACATACACAAAACATACACGTATAAAAAACTCAAGGGGGTTAACCCCAACCCCCCCCCCCCCCCACCCCCCCCCCCCCCCCCCCCCCATGCGTACGCGCCTGACTCGTCCCCATGCAGTCCTTAAGTATCCTGGGGAATAACTCAATTTGTAAGTTTCCATTGAAGAGCCTATAGTCTCATAATTTATATCGTTGTTGTTGACTCAAACAAAAAAAATAATTTTAAAATTTTTAAAAATTAAAGGGGGGGGGGGATTTTTCACAAAAAACATACACAAAACATACACGTATAAAAAACTCAAGGGGGTTAACCCCAACCCCCCCCCCCCCCCCCCCCCCCCCCCCCCCCCCCCCCCCATGCGTACGCGCCTGACTCGTCCCCATGCAGTCCTTAAGTATCCTGGGGAAATAACTCAATTTGTAAGTTTCCATTGAAGAGCCTATAGTCTCATAATTTATATCGTTGTTGTTGACTCCTCCTTCCAGTTCGCTTCCTCGGTTTGATGTAATCCGGTATTGGTATTGCAATTTAGTTATTTGCTATCTTGTAGAACATTGACAATCGTGCCCGTTTTCTTCTTTCTTCAAGAGTTGTTCTCGCATGAATGTTACACTTAGGCGCGGATCCACGGGCCGATTCTACCCCCCCCCCCCCCCCCCCATAGCCTCCCAAACCGGTATGAAAAAAGGATAGTAACGTAAATTTTACCTTTAAAAAAAAGGCCCCCCCCCCCCTGACCTGCCAATGACACAAGTGCGGCATCAAAATATTTGTGTTTCTCTGACCGTAATTAAATGCCTAAAACCTCATGAGCTTCCGGGGGCCCCGCCCTGAACCCCCCACACCAATTTACGCTCGCTACCGGCCCTCTACCTGATCGTAAATACTTTAGCCCCCCACTTTATGTAACTCCAGGAAGCTCCGACGCCGAGACGCCGCGTCGGAGCTTCCTGGAGTTAATCTTTATGATGTCTTTAACGTGACATATCTTCTTCTCCCCTTGCAAACGAGAAAGAAAACAAGGTCATTAAAAGCGACAATAATGATTATGATTCAAATTTATGCGAATATTTGTTTGAATAAGCACTGCTATTCACCAGAATCTTCTTTGTAAAAACAACTTTTACAAATCTCAGCCATGCTTACTGAGTTGAGACGTTCCATTCAATTTAAAATACTCATTAAAAAATACACTTCTCCTTATCTGAAAGTGATCTTACAACACAGTGGCAGAATTGCATGGCTGAGATCTGTAAAAGACGTTTTTACAAAGAAGATTCTGGTGAAAAGCATTGCTTATTAAAAAAAAATCCGCATCAATTTCAATCACAATGATCATTTTGTTGCATGATTCTTTAAATAAACTTTTTTGTTTGCAGGGGAGAAGAAGCAGTTATGTCACGTTAAAAAATCATAAAGATCAGTTGTATTATGCTCATATAATTATTATGATAACAGAACAAAATGTTGATTATCAGAATGTCATTTTGGAATACCTCTATACAAATACCCGATCTTATACTGAGCCGATACCACATAATGATTGTCTTTAGCCCGAATCAGTGTTAGTATGAGCCAATACAAAGTTATTATTCTTTATTAAGTTCAGTATAACGCTTTTCCTCAAAAATTGTTTCGCTATCGGGGTTGAGACGCTAAGAAATGGTTTCAAATGTACACAAACCCTGAACCATTGCATAATGATGGTGGTTCTCTCTCTCTCTCTCCCTATTATTTTAATCATGCATTACATCAACTACAGGCAGCAACAAAAAACTTAGGGTCACTGGGATAGGTAAAAGTAATAGTTAAAAAGAAAGTCATGCTAAAACGGCGCTTCACCTCCCCCTCCCCCCCCCCCCCCCCCCCCCCCCCTTTAATATTCACCGGCCGGCCGGTTGAGTCGGCGCAAAAATGTTCCCCAAAAAACTAGTGGACCCCAAAAAACAAATATATGTGTTCTTATCCACCTCCCCCCTGGGGTGACCATGAAAAGCGCATAATTGGCTTGTTAAAATACATAACAATACATAATTTACACCCTAAAAATCATGATTACGACTAAGCAAATATTTATTTTTAAAAAGGAAGATAAAGAAATTAGATAAATGAAGAATCTTCGCTCTATCGCATGATCGACGTAAAAAAAAGAAGTAAGGATCCAGACAAGTCCAAGTTTCGTGAAAATGATTCCTTCGAAAATTTGTTCCCACTGATAAGACCCACTTCCCACTAATAGAAGAGGGCGTGGACAATCTTGTAAAGTAGGGGAAAGTCCCCTCAAGAGTTCAATGCGATGCGAGAAAGCGAAAAGGGCTGTTGCGTAATTATTAGTCTGCAAATCATTGCGTTATTTGTGAAATTCAAGCGATATGTAACTATCTGGATAAAATTTATGAAAAATCACTGGTACAATATCAAACAGTGCACTGTTATTTCCTTTATCTTGTGATGACCTTGTAATACCAAGTTTGGTAACTGCAAAAAGAGAAGGACAAAAAGGAAAAGGAAAATTGACTTAAATGTAGTTATTCTGCGACTACAGACAAAGTAAATTTTGAACTTTAAAGATTTACAAAGCGCGCAATTTGTTATTTATACACCATGAATCAATGATGCGTGCACATAATTTTTTCATTATCTGAGCTATATATCCTCTCGATTAACAGCGCGCACGAACTATCCGCGGGTGCTGTTTTAATATACATGTACAATATGCATATGATACGTACGTCGACGTGGAATCTTACATTGCACGAATTATTTAGGAACGTTTTTAAAATATTGGATTTTCTATTGTATTGAGCTGAAATGGGGGACAAAATAATGTCAACCGCTTTCTGGAGAGTACCATTTCTCTTCAACACAAACATTACAAAACTTTTTAATACACTGCTTTATTTCATGATTGGAATTTTAAGTTGGCAGCTGGACCTGGCGTTAGCGGTTGATCCCGTAGTACCTCCCGTTGCTCCCGGTCCCGGACAAGCTGTCGCTGGCACAACCAATAGACCACCGGGCACCAGTAGCGGCCCAACTACGGCAAAATCGGTGGTAGCAAACGATACTTCCTCACAGGATGGTGAACAATTTGAGTTTGGCGACGTATTGTACGACAAAAGCATGTTGAGAAGGAGTTTCTTTGTGCTTATTGGATTTACCTGTTTAGCTGTAATGTTTTTTGCAGTGAGATGGTTCAGGTGAGAATTTTTCATTTTGACTTTTGACAGTGTCTCCGTGATTTTCCCAGCCCAGGTGTTTTTAGTTTTACTAAAATTTTAGTTTAGATATCTTGACTGCTATGAGCATGATGAGAGGCATCGCTGTTTCTATAGTTCAAGAGGATGTTACATCCTGCTATAAGTTACCAAGTTTAACATTATTACTCGAGGCGCGCCGGGGCAGGCGGCTTGCCGAGGGGTCATTCATAGACATAGATATAGCAGGATGTAACATCCCCGAGATCTCTCGCGAGAGCCAGTATAGAAACAGCTATTCTTCAAATATTAATGCAGTCCATATATCTTTTATATACCAAATTTACAACAAAATCTACAAAGAATTCTTACCTTATCCTTTTCTTGAGTAAAGACTGGTTAAAACATCACAGAAAATCTGAGACATTATCTGTAGACTAAATCTTCACTGGAAAGTTGCCTGGATGCGAGTTGGCTCAGTCGGTAAAAGCGTCCGTCTGTCGAACCAAAGATCCCGGGTTCGACTCCCACCCAGGCGGATGACTGAAGCCTTCGTTGTGTGTTAACATGCCCCTTCCCTTGTTCATAGACGCAGGTTATGTCAAGCGGAAAACACTCCGCCCCTCAGATACGACGTTAAATGGAGGCCTCGTGTAGAGAAGAGTCACTACACTGTACCTTTGCATGTTAAGAACCCACTGCACTATTCGTGTAAGAGTAGGGGGAAACCCCGGTGTAGTGGTCCACCTGCACACACCCTCAGTATAGTACGAAAATACTCTGTAAAGAGGTCTGTACTCAAAAGGAAGAAGAAGAAGAAGACAATCATTCAGGAATCGTACACACACTACACTCTATCTGGTATACGCGCTCGCAAAAAGAAACTTTTAAACGTAAACCAATGGGGATCTCAGCAAAATTTATTTATGCAGCCCATGCCCGTTTCTTGTACAGAGCCTACATTCTAGCAGCTTCATGCTGAATTCATTCAAGAGACTTGAGGTTACGTTTGGTTGATGGGTGTCCCAACAGTCCCATGATCATTGTATGCATAAATTATATTAAAGAAGAGGTCTCACAAGTGAAAGATAAGCAGAACTTCAGAAGATCAGACATTTTAAATGCTTGATTGCAACACCGTAAATTCCTCCGCATAACATTTTGTACTCTTTGAGCTTTTTTTGTTTCTTCCAGAACATTGATCTACTTTGACTTTTGATGCTCTCCTCAAAGATAGGAATTTGGTGAAGCCAGACACAGTCTACGCACTGACTGATTTTTTTGTCTTTTAAATGTAGTCGTAGTCGTCCTGCTTGAAGTGCTAAATAAGATTAAGAACATTATTTAGGACTGCATATTTGGAAGTCACACACTATAATCATTTCATATCTTAACCTTTAATTTAAATACACTTTGTCTAATTGAAGAAAAAAAACATCACTAAATTCTGTGTAATATTAGTAAAACGGGTTTTTAAATTCTAACTGTCCCTTTTTATATATTATTTTCACAGATCGAGAGGCAAGAGAAAGTCAAAGAAGTATGGTGTCCTGGCAACGCGTTCATCAGACATGGAATTAAGACCCCTCGATCAGGAGGACGATGAGGAAGACATGACAGTCTTCGATGTCAACTCCAAATAGTAACATACTACACAAAAGTAAACACCTTTTCCTTTCACTTTCAAAAACAAAGTGAAAGTGTTGTAAAATAATTATTAAATAAATAATTTGCCTTGGAGTAAACAAGATGCATGGAGCACTTTTCCCCAAAAAGTATTTATAATATATTATGTACTTAGGTCTTCTTTATAATCAGTTTACTCATTTGTAAAGTCCATAAAAATGTACATGCCTTATAAGGCCTGATTTAATGTTTTTGTTCGTATCCTGTAGAGTATAAAGGAAATTTTATTTATTAATTCTGGTTTTGAATTCCTCAATTGATAATTGTCCAAATTTACTGTCCTGTCACTTTTATGTCTAGCTACATGTAGAATAGATGCAATCATCGTTTAATGAAATGTTGTATTTTTTTAGTGTTGACACATACTGTAATGATAAATGCGGATTTAGGTTCATATACATGAAAGTTTGTGCTCTGCATCTAAGCAAAGGTGCTTTTGCTTCTGGATTAAATGTTTACTTTTCTAAGATTTCATATTATAAACCCTAGATTAGAATTACAGGGTCATGCACAAAATAATAATGATAAGCATACTTGCATTGTGTTACAAATGTCATAGTTCACATACATGTACATGTAGTTGAGTTTTGAATTAAAATTTGAAATTGGATATTTACATGCACACACTGTACACTGTATAACAAAATACAGAACAGTCATGGCCAATTCGGTGAATATACATTTGCTCGATTACATGTAAATCAGATGTGGGTGTTGGTTATTTATTAGATCATGTATCATTTGCTAAGCTTTGTGTACAAGAGTTTGTCAAAATTTGACCTTGCATGCACTTCACCCTTAATTCCTGAGTTTTCACAGGGCCCACTACTACCTTGTTAATGACAAGTGTTAAAAGCTACACACGTACGAACACACTACAGTACTACTTGAGCCAATTACATGTGAATTAAGCCAATACTGTCACTGTAACATGAGTCCGAGTGTACATTTGTATCTCCATTGTGTAGTGTTACAGTACATTGAACATTTGGGTTTCCTGCAGGAAATGCATACACTGTACATGTACATGTACATGTTGGCGCTATTATTTTACAATTTAAAATATGATTGTCCTGTCTAAAAATAAAATCTAAAGGGATAAGTTACATGTAATTGTGTTTGTGCGTTATTAGCATGCTTTATTCCGTAAATAAATTTTTGAAAAGTAATTTTTCCTCCTGTAGGCGTGTGTATATTTATACATTTACATGTACCGGTTGAAATTCTGGACTTTTGTGTTTCTAATTTGACTAACACAAAAATCAAAAATATGTAAATCATATTGAGAGTGGCATGAGGGAAAGTGGCACATTGTTCCACGTTTTGGAAGCAGCCACTAAAAAACATTTTTTGGTAGATGAGAGTCTGAATTTGGGAATAATTAATGTACATGTTAATATGTACAAGCATTTGATCAGCTTTCTGTCAGTAGATTTGATTATAGATATGAACTCATCTTATCAAGAAGATCTATGCTGCTATTATTACAGGTCTGCATTTTATGTAATATCCAAGTTCATGCACACAAATGTGTTGACGGTTATGAATGGCAGAGGTCCCCATGAAATTTGAAACATGTGATCAAGTGGTGTTATCAAGGCTGCTCTCACCAACGTTTATGCACAGATTTATGTTGTAAATGAGCTTGAAGAGCATTTTTGTGCTGGTAGCCAGCGTAAGTGTATTTTATTCCCCCCCCCCCCCATCCCCCCTCCCCCCTCCCCCCCCCCCCCCCCCCAGTTATTTTCTTATTGATGATTTTTTTTTTTTTAATCAGTTAATCTTAAGAGATTTTGAAAGGAATAAATGTTATTTACTTTGTGTATGTGTGCAATTTGAGTTACTGTATTGCACAATGCTTCCATGTATATAAAACGTGCTCGTTTGATTTTGTTGTTAATTGCCCTCTGGATGTGGATTTAGTGGCTTTACATTTTGTACAAATTTATTTCATGAATTTCTTCTAAAGATCAGTGCAATTACATGTACATGTAAATTTAGTTTTACCTTACATACTTAGTATGATAGGACATTTCTTATTTGTTTTCCCCTCTGTATTGGGAATCTTGATTCCACTAAGGGAATTGTTTGTTATTGTAATGTCTGGTTTAATGTCACAGTCTATACGTCTTACACAGTTTGACAATTTTGGCATGTTTATTTAATTATAAAATATATTTTGTGTGTACAAGAGAAATGATTATTAAGTGGTAAGCCAAAATAAGCTGCATGTACCAAATACATTTTCCTTTGTGTATTTTAAATACAGGTAGTGTCAAATTCTGTCAAAATGTAAACAGTGTACAGTAGGTATGAACTACTGAAGATCAAGCAATCCTTACTTTGTCATTTATATAACTTTGTTGTTCTATCTCTATTTCTTCTTATGCATTGTGCGAGGGATAGCGATATCATGCTGTACATGTCAATGAAGTACAGTGGAAACTCGTTATAACGAGGTCCTTGGGACCATGGCAATCACCATGTTATAATAGATACATTGTTATCGGAGCTCTTTATAAGGAGGTTCCACTGTACATCTACGAGCATTCAATGAAGCCTTTAAGAACAAATAGTTTGCAGACACAAAGGCCTTGTCAGCCATAATGTGTAACAGGGTCTTAAATGTAAGACTAGACTGCACCTCATGCTCTTCACTATGTACACATACTGTACCTGCTCTTGCCAGAGATTGACAAGATTAGGCTCATCACAGGCTGTAGGGCTTTATGGAAGTTTGTTTTTAGATGTGACAGACAGAATAGGGTCTGTACCTGTATAATACAGGATATTGTACATGTACACACAATTTTTGTATGGGCAGTGCATGGGAATGTACAAATGTATGTACCATGATTAGAAAATGTTTTATTAAACAATTTTTCAGATATATACACGTACATGTACGAACAGGTCACATAAACTTGTTATACATGTGTACAATGTGTATATTTGAAAGGGCCTGTGATGTTAGAGGTATTTTAGAAGACTGTAATGAGTTGATGATAATCCTGTAGCTTTGATTAGTAGAAGTTACTTGATGCGAAAAAGCATTACATGTTCGGTATGTAACCTGATCAATGTACATTCCATGAAGTTCATGACAAATTTGTCCTTATTTTGTGTAAGTATTCTTTTTTACCATCTGTTGTACACTTAATTCAACACTCTTATTTTGAATGTTCTAACTGTTGGGTAGAGTAGTTTTGTGATGTATAATCTTCTTTCATGTTCTTTGGGTAAGTGTAGAATGGGAGTATTTTTTTCACTGCACAATTGATTTTCTTGTACTAAAAGGTAAAATTACAAAGTTTTTGCATGATTTTTTTAAATAAATACTTGCAACATTAGGGCAATCACTTAATATAGATATTGGCCCTGTTGCATAAAAACTGACCAATGTTGGTAACTTTGACATCAATATTAATACCAATCAAAGCAAGATTTCCATGGAAGTTACTGATTATGGCAAAGTTACCACTAGTGATGAGTTTTACGGAAAAGGGCCTTTGATTTGTGGGTGAAGTGCTTCACAAAATACAGAATGTAACCTGAATTTGTTATTGTTCACTATTAAAGCCCACATCCACATTATCTGTTAAGTAAAATGTACCGGTATATAGCCTAGCTCAATGCTAATACATGTATATCATGGGTTTGGGATGAAAGACTCTCTAACATGTACAAAACCCTAATATTTCAACAATGATTTCTTTTAAAAATATGTGAATACCTTATACAGCCAAACCTGTCTATAGCTACTGCCCAAAGGAAACACAAAAAGTGGTCTTTGTACCTCATTTACAATTAGTAACCATTTTCAACGGAAACAAAAAATATGGTCTTTGTAGACAAGTGGTCACTAAAGCAGGTTTGACTTTATATTGAAAATCTTTATCCAAACTTTTTAAGGCATTTTTAGCCCTAAAATGATAGTGATTTTGATGTTTGTTTGGAGGTGGGATGGGTTATCTTGTACATGCCCAATGTTTATAGATTAATCAAAATCTAATTTCAATTTCTACAGTATTACTAAATTGAAATCAATTCTGTGAAAAATCCTTTATTACTTTTTCTTTATGTAAAAATGTTTATGTCTTGTATATTGTTATTAAAGGAATTACACCAAGAAAAGATTCCAATTAGTCCATCATTTTCTTTTAAAGAATGTTTATTTGGAATCGATGGGCATCTTTGTGATGGTGATGATGATGATGATTGTGATGATGATGATGATGATGGTGATTGATAGTGATGGTGGTGATTATGATAATGATCCATATGATTATGACAGTACTTTATCAAGCCATTTTGTGGTGATATCCTTTACATGTGAAATATTAAGGATAGTATCAGGAGTGAAGAAACCAGTATAAACCCAAATTTATTATGCCTTTGCATCAGTACACATTAGATCTTTTTCTGCATACCAATGTATAGCGTATAATGAATCTTCTAAATGTCTCGCTACCAAGTTTAGCAATTTTCTTACATTTTCTTAATGAGTACATTTTCTTACATGAGATAAACTATTACATGTACAAGTGTACTCATCAAGCTACAGCAGTACCTATCGCTGTTGATCAGTTGTTACATAAAAATTGTGTATGAAAATTTTGTTTGTGTGCACAAAGTAAGGAAATGAAAAGTGGTACATGGCAATTTGTGACACTTCCTAAGTGTAATGTGGTAATTTACTTTAAATTCTGGTATATTGTTTGTTAGCGAATTTGAGAATCGATAATATGTGGTTTCCATGAAAGGGTTGACTAAATTTAATAAAATAAGGTCAGAAGTATTTGTTTCTACTCATGCCTATCAACTTTTCTTTATCACAAGGTCTTGGGATAACCTTCACATGTTACAACATTAAGTCAATACTTCTCGAGCGAGATTAGGTTTTCCTGCTTCTTTCTATGATGTGTGCTTATGATAAGGAGACTTGAACGCAATATAAATACATGTACAGTACTAGTATATATTGTATTGTATTGAGGTTTGATTGTTAAAAGGGGGATATACAAAAAAATTGTTTTTCTATAATGTAAGTGAGGTTTTTTTCTTTCTTGTAAGTCAGACAGAGTAATAAAAAAGGTTACCGTATTTTGTCCGCGAAAAAAATAGAAAATCAGATTTTAAAATATGGATGTCGAAATGTCAATGACATTTTGTACTGAAAACAATGAAAGTTTGACAAATTTGAATATTATTTGCATTACTCGGTAACACATCTCCACATCTTTCTGTATGAGGGTGACCAAATCCCAGAAAGTGGATATAACACGAAAATATTAAAAAACTAATTCCACATTTCCATACATCAAATAACCCTTGTAAATATATACCTCTATGAATATCTCTAGCCAATGAAGCCCAGAACCATATCTGTGTTATATTCCTAATTACTATCTTTCACTTCTCTCATTCTCTCCCTTTTTCAGCAGGCACATAGCCACAAGGGGGGGAGGGCACGTGCCCCCCAAAAATTTCCAAGATCAGTTGAACTTTTTAGACCCCTTTTTTTTTTACCTCGATCGATTACATGTATGTGCTCCCCCCCCCCCCCCCAAACATCAAACTTTGGCTATGTGCCTGTTTTTCAGGCCCATCTGTATATTTCTCTATGTACAATGTATATATATATATATTTCTTTACTTTCTGCTCCTCCTCTCATTGCAATTAATCCCAATTTGACTAAACTATTATCTCCTATCTATCTATCTATTATGCTCATCTTGTTATCCTCTTTCTCTCTTCCGTTCCAGCTCTCCTACTTTTATGATCAATTTCATTTCTCCATATTTCCCTTACTTTCTCTCTCCCTTACTTTCTCTCTCCCCTCTAGATCATTAGTAAGATATCCATCTCCCCTCCTTTCCTTCACATATCCCTGCACTCTTCCACCATACATGTACAGCCCTATATCGTCTCCACCCTCACGTACTCTTCAATCTCTTCCCTCTTCTTCCTTCCCTCTTTCTCTCCCTATCTATTACTCTCTCTCTCTCTCTCTCTCTCTCTCTCTCTCTCTCTCTCTCTCCCCTCCCCCTCCCTCTCTCTCTCTCTCTCTCTCTCTCTCTCTCTCTCTCTTCCCTCCCTCTTTCTCTCCCTATCTATTACTCTCTCTCTCTCTCTCTTCCCCCTCCCCCTCTCTCTCTCTCTCTCTCTCTTCCCTCCCTCTTTCTCTCCCTATCTATTACTCTCTCTCTCTCTCTCTCTCTCTTCCCCCTCCCTCTCTCTCTCTCTCTCTCTCTCTCTCTCTCCCCTTCTTCTTCCCTCCCTCTTTCTCTCCCTATAGTCTATTACTCTCTATCTCTCTCTCTCTCTCTCTCTCTCTTCCCTCCCTCTTTTTCTCCCTATCTATTACTCTCTCTCTCTCTCTCTCTTCCCCCTCCCTCTCTCTCTCTCTCTCTCTCTCTCCCTTCTTCTTCCCTCCCTCTTTCTCTCCCTATAGTCTATTACTCTCTATCTCTCTCTTCCCCCCTCTCTCTCTCTCTCTCTCTCCCTTCTTCTTCCCTCCCTCTTTCTCTCCCTATAGTCTATTACTCTCTATCTCTCTCTTCCCCCTCCCTCTCTCTCCCTCTCTCTCTCTCTCTCTCTTCCCTCCCTCTTTCTCTCCCTATCTATTACTCTCTCTCTCTCTCTCTTCCCCTCCCTCTCTCTCTCTCTCTTCCCTCCCTCTTTCTCTCCCTATCTATTACTCTCTCTCTCTCTCTCTCTCTCTCTCTCTCTCTCTTCCCCCTCCCTCTCTCTCTCTCTCTCTCTCTCTCCCTTCTTCTTCCCTCCCTCTTTCTCTACCTATAGTCTATTACTCTCTATCTCTCTCTTCCCCCTCCCTCTCTCTCTCTCTCTCTCTCTCTCTCTCTCTTCCCTCCCTCTTTCTCTCCCTATAGTCTATTACTCTCTATCTCTCTCTTCCCCCTCCCTCTCTCTCTCTCTCTTTCTCTCTCTCTCTCCCCCCCCCCCCCCCCTCTCTCTCTCTCTCTCTCTCTCTGTCTCCCTCCCCCTCCCTTCTCTTTTTTACACCCTTTTTAATCAGACTCATTTTCAAATCCTGAAGAAGAAAAAAATTCTTTAAAAAAACCAAACACTTTTGACCTACTAATGAGGGACGAATTGGTGCTTCAATCCCATATACATGTATACAAATACCAATCAACAACAAAGTCTTATTTGAATTTTACAAAAGTGTGAATTATTTATTCATAGAAATCTTTCAAAAAACCATCAGGGTTTACAAATTCATGAATATATATAGTGTTGTAGAAACTTCTAATATTCCTAGTGCAGCCCTTATAATTAAATTCATTATCAAATTAGTAATTTTACTGTTAACTACAGGCTCTAAACCGAAAGATTTGGTAGCACAATGCATACAAATTATACATTTTTAAATTAAATTTGTTGCCAGAAGGATTGAATTAATGTCATCTCAATTTCACCATACAGTTTATATGAAGAAGAAAACACCTTACAACAATTTATCCTTAAACAGTAAAGGAACGCTCTGTACTTCTGAACATTACAATGCTGTCAGAGAACACAATAACTAATATCAATAACTTTTTATTTATTGCAGCAGTAGATACCGATGGAACATACTTCATGCTAATAGCTTCCAAAGTATGCTCTGAAACCTTAAACTTTTCAGGTATTGCAGATCAAAGGAAAAAAAATGCTATCAAAAGAAAATAACTATGTTTGTATATATGATCAAAACACTGTGATACAATTCTTACACTTGCAGAGAATAAGTAAATCATTCTCTTATTTGGAATGTACATTTTACGTGTCAGATAAACACCAACAGTCCCATAATACACAAATTACTATGCTTCAATTACACAAGAATTGTTCAAGTTGCAAATATTCAACAACAACAAATTCTCTCGATGTTTTCAAATTTCTAAGGTGCCTGCTTGTATCATATATCTAACTGATTAATGACTACAGTTAATCTACTTTGTGAGGTGCATGTATGATCATCATTCAACAGTTATTTTTTCTCCAAATTTGACCAAATACATGGCCGAGCAGTTAGCCATCAGATAGGTCAATTCACAATGGCACTGCCTCAGTACCTAATATCCCTCAATTATTTATCACGTTTAAACCTAAATTCATTCAAAATCAAATAAAAGATATCTTGCTCAGGTACTTTTTGACCTGAGAAGATTGACAAGACACCAAAATTTAAAGAGTCTCTTGAAATTCCCTCTATACTATTGACACTATTAAGTATTAACTTCCAAGATATTTGTAGTGCCTTATTTTTCCATGAATGTCTGTGATTTCACACATAAGGAAATATGTAACTGTTGTTTTGTTTAATAAGTAATTGTTAATCATTGTATTCTGTTTGTTATAGCACTTAGAGACTTCGGTGGTAAGCGCTTTATAAGCACTGTTTTTATTATTATCATTATTAATATTTGTGGACATTGATTTCAGTTGACGTCTGTTTTCTGTTTTCTCTTGTTCTATATTGCCTCTAATGAATTTGCATCATCGTTTCATAAATGGTAAAACGTACAATAAAAGTTGATTTACAGAATTGATTAAGATCATTGAGTAAACATATACACCTGTTTTCACCCTCTTTGGAAAATATATATATTATCTGAAATAAACATTGAACAATAGAACAGAAAACATGATAAGGCAAGGCTTGCACTGGTGTAAATAAGTAGAAAAAGGCAATTACATTTTATTCTTTCGACTTTTTGATATTTAAAAGAAATCTACACCAACTATATTAGAAAATACTGGAAATCATCTGATTTGAATGCAATATATACATGTACATATAAAGTAAAATGGATAAATTGCATGTGATAAAATCAAAGAAGAATTGGAAAAACAAAATAACAAGAAAATAAATAACATGATGTTTGTATCTAATCCCATAATCACATACATGTAAGTTCATGATAACTACTTAAATGTGTACCAGCAATGCTCTTTGCTTCGATATCAAATATCATTTCATCACTTTCTTATTTTCCCTATACGAGTGCATCAAGTCTTCAATCCAACATGTAGTGTCAACCATTTAACTTATCACTGATATCACCTGAACATAAGCAGCAAACATACAGCAATACATATAATAATTGATGTGGGACTGAGTGAGTGGTAATTGATTTATCACCACAGGACACAAGTAAAATGGCTTTGTTTCATGGCTGAAATCTCTTTGGCTGCCAAGTATTTGGATTAGTTAAACATTTTACCCAGCATTCAGCCTGGATACGTACATGGCTCAAGTCTTATTTAGATCCCATACAAGAATTATACATGTGTACACCGACTTAGAGCTACAATATTTAATGAGACCGTTCTAACATTAAGAAATCTTCCAAAACTACGGTCATTAAAACGTGTGATGGTAAATACGCACTTACATGGTGTGCTTAGGTGCAGCTGGAAGACCTCTGTTAGCCAATCATGGCTTCTAAATAATTACCTGAAGTTTATGGCTTCTAAATAATTAGCTTAAGTTTTTCCGCTGGCTTTCATAATTTTAGGGTAGAATATCAGCAAAAACTTCAACTGTACACTGATGTTAATAGATAAGTTGTTGTCTATATTACACATCAAGTACAATACTTACATTTCTGCCGGTATCGACTTGAATACCGGTCCCAGGTTTCAAGACTATGTCTCTATCGATTGAGCCATTGTACGTATTATCATCTTCTGTGACTTCTTATGATTCATAACTTTGAGCAAGGAGGATGAGCAATAGCTCCATTCATAAACCATCGCCCAAATGTTCTCATGTAGAGGTGCCGCAGTATAGTGGATACATCACCGGACTGTGGATCACATGGTTCCCAGAGTCCCCCCGTCGCACCAATGTCCCTTGGCAAGACATTAATCTACATTTGCCGCTCTCCATCCAGGTGAAGTAAATGGGTACCCAGTAGGAAGACATTCCTTGAATGCTTTAGTGCCTTATAATGGCAGCCCATCTACAGTCTGGGTATTAAGTGCAGTAGAGTATTATTCATGTCTAAATCTCTGATGACCTATTGACTGGTCACTGCTGTATAGGGGTCATCCTATGTCTAGATCTCTGATGACCTGTTGACTGGTCACTGCTGTGTAGGGGTCATCCTATGTCTGAATCTTTGACGACCTATTGACTGGTCACTGCTGTGTAGGAGTCATCCTATGTCTAGATCTCTGATGACCTGCTGACCATCCATGGGAATGACCCTCTCTGCTTCATCTTTACTAACCCTGCAGACCTTCTGGTAGGCAAAGTTGAGAGCCTGAAACAAGACATGACAAAGAAATGCATTAGAATTCCGCAAAAACCACTGGGACAATACATGGTGAAATGTAAAATGGACAAATTAAATGTAGAGAATATCATTCTAAAATACTGCACTCGCATTAATCTAAAGTCCCAACATTGATGCCATATAACTTTTTACAAACTCAAACCAAACTCACATTTGAATATTAAAGATGACATATACAGTAAATCATATCTGCCAAATTGATTTGATAGAAAAGGAGAGCTGACTATGTAACGAACATATATTTACTGATCTCGTCATCCTCACTAGAAACAGGAGGTCCCAAGTGCGAAGGCATTAAAAACGGGAGGTCCCAAGTGTGAACGCATTAGAAACAGGAGGTCCCAAGTGTGAATGCATTAGGAACAGGGAGTCCCAAGTGTGAATGCATTAGGAACAGGAAGTCCCAAGTGTGAACACATTAGAAACAGGAGGTCCCAAGTGTGAACGCATAGAAACAGGAGGTCCCAAGTGTGAACGCATAGAAACAGGAGGTCCCAAGTGTTAACGCATTGGAAACTGGAGGTCCGAAGTGTGAACGCATTGGAAACTGGAATTCCCAAGTGTGAACGCATTAGAAACAGGGAGTCCCAAGTGTGAACGCATTAGAAACAGGAGGTCCCAAGTGTGAACACATTAGAAACAGGAGGTCCCAAGTGTGAACACATTAGAAACAGGAGGTCCCAAGTGTGAACGCATTAGAAACAGGAGGTCCCAAGTGTGAACGCATTAGAAACAGGAGGTCCCAAGTGTGAACGCATTAGAGACAAGGAGGTCCCAAGTGTGAACGCATTAGAAACAGGAGGTCCCAAGTGTGAACGCATTAGAAACAGGAGGTCCCAAGTGTGAACGCATTAGAAACAGGAGGTCCCAAGTGTGAACGCATTAGAGACAAGGAGGTCCCAAGTGTGAACGCATTAGAAACAGGAGGTCCCAAGTGTGAACACACCTAGTGCTTCCAGAAAATGTGACTTCCAGCAATTATTCAATTCAATTCAATTCAAAATTGTTCATTTCAATTTCAGCGAATACATTAAAAATACTTTTTTTAATATATTAAAAAATACATGACATATAGGTATATACTTAAACATGACTTTGAAAAAAAATATTACAGTATAATACAGCACAAATTTTACAAAACTTACAATGGGAATTATTATCATTGTAAGTTTTGTTTTGTTTCCTTATTTTCACATTGCTTGCCAAAATTAACTAAATGCATTTAATGTAGAATTTGACAGATATTGAAACACTAAACCTTTTTATGCAACACTTATATAGGATGGTCAAAATATAAAAGCTTATTTTCATTCAAACGATTTTCAAATTGAATTCACAAAGGCCACAGTGCTCTTGAAAGAAAAAGAAAATGGGTTGAACTATCGGATCTGGGCCAACTCGGACCCAGGGACAACTCGGGCTGTTGCAAAACTGTCATTTTTTGGTCATTTTACCCTAACCCTTACTCTAACCTGCAAAAATGACTGTTTTTGCAGCGGGGCCGAGTTGTCCCCGGGTCTGAATTGGCCCGACTCCGATCTATCACATTAAACAGTGTAAACAATACCTCAGGTAGAGCGACATCCATCATGTACCGTGTACTAGACAAGGGAGATTCGTCACTGGTCAAAAGATTCTTCAAATAGTCCATGATAGCCATTCGCTGAATAAGCAAAGGAACAATAACAATAATATTAATATTGGATATTTAACTATCACATATATCCACCATGCATGGTGCTCAAGGCGCTCCAACTCATTATCCAGATTTTTTCTGCTAGGCAGCCGATTTCGGCGCTCACAGCATTCAAGGAATTCCTTCCTACCGGTACCAATTTTACACCTGGGTGGAGAGTGGCAAATGTAGATTAATGTCTTGCCAAAGGACATTAGTGCCGTGGCGGGACTTAAACCGCGGACCCTGTGATCCACAGTTGGACGACTTATCCACTAGACCACTAACACCTCTAAAATTGTAGCATTGGATCTTTATAGCTCTCACATCTATCACGCAAGGTGCTCAAGGAGATCTGACATTGCGTCAACATTGCTCTGGCCCTTACTAAGCTACTGATTCTTTCTTACTGATACCAATGTATCACCTGGGTGTAGAGTGGCAAATATAGATTAATGTCTTGCCAAAGGACACTAGTGCAACCTCAAGGCTTCAACCAAAGACCTTTGCATCTGCAGTCAGTGTATAAATCAATTGACTACGACACGAGAACGAGACATAATAAGACTTAAAGAACACCACACTGTTCAAATTATTTATCATTGCCTCATTATTATGGTGTATTCCTGGGCCCGTTGTATAAAACAATACCATTGATGGTAACTTTGCCGTCAATGGTAACTACCATGGAAACCTTAGATTTTGATTGACTGTTGAGCCTTGTTACCATGGTAATTGCCATTGACGGCAAAGTTACGATCAATCGTAAGTTTTATGCAACGGGTCCCTGATAAAGCTATTTTTTTTTTTTACGTACAATAGAAGTATAACCCCATCCAAATATTTCTCATAAATTTCTAGAGGAACTGGTAGCAGAGATCCCACATTCGTTCCTGGCTTTATTCTGTCAGAGATACAAGTTCAGGACTTGGGTTGTGATTGGGTTTTAGGTTACGTTTGGAGTTGGGTTTAAGGCTTTCAGATAGTACTTTTGGCCAGGGTTAAAAGTTTGATGAGTGTTACAAATTGACTGCACAACAACCATTGCCTGAACATGTATCATATAATCCTAAGCCCCGTATCATATAATTCTAGGCCCGGTATTATAAACAGTTGCGATTAATCACAAAAGATATAGGAGACTGAAAACCTGTAATTGATAAGAGGACTTGTGATTTATTTGGATCGATCGCAACTCTTTATAAGGCCTAAAAAAAAATGATATTGTATTGCCCTTTAGGTGCCAAAACATGGGTCGGTCGGTCGGAAACCTTTATTTTTTTGTTAAACTCCCTCTTTTTTTTAAAAAGCCGATCGTCGGTCGCAAAGGGCAATACAACATCTTTTTTTTTAGGCCTAAAACAGGCCCTGGTTTATCAAAACAAGACACACAGATTTACAAAGAATCCACATCTATGCTACCAACTAAACCATTACTCTGTGAATGACTGACCTTGTTTTCACTGATGAGGGCGCCACAGGATCCCCATTTGAGTCTTCCTTTGTCGTTTGCATTGCTGGAGAGAAACCACTGGTGTCTGACGCTAGCCACCGTGCCATGTTGGATCCCAAACAGGTATTCCTAGGTTTAAAATGATAATAATAACACTAGTAATGATGATAAATGGTCACATATCGAGGGTTCAGTGACACAAAGACGTAATTCCATATTTTTAGTTTTTTTTTTTATTTTTTTTTTACAATTTACGAAACCTTCATTCATCGTAGATACTTGTCGCAATTATCACAATTATAATCTCTAGAATACGAGATACAAATACAAGTCTCTGTAGTCTATGTCAAAATCCTTGTTCAGTGGTTGATGGCTAAAACCAAAGTCCCTATGACTAGCCAACTTTCCAAACAGGAAAGTTTGGGGAGAGAAACAATGTTGGGATGGGTAATTTAAACATGATTACCGTAAATCTCTGTGTATAAGGCGCAAAAAAATTTGAAAGTCGGGGGTGCGTCTTATACACAGGTACAGAATTTTTTTTTTTTTTTAATTTTTTTATTCTTTTTTTTTAGTTTCGATTTTATGGCGCTATGCCTGGCAATGTCTCCCAGCTCAGTAATCAGTGTGTTGACTCACCACTCGGAAACTACAACAACACTCAAATTTGTCTGTCATCTTGGTTTGAAAGTAATCTTTCTAATAGATCTCAATATGTAGTTTATAATAATAATTCCTCAATTTTTTTTTCTATAACAAATGGTGTACCACAAGGTACTCCATTGTCAGAAATTTAGAGGATGCTATTCATATCATGCATGACTATTGATGTTTGGCATCGAACACAGTGCTTCTGCTAGGTGATGTGATGAGGCTGGTGTGGGACGCTTGGTATCATGAAGCCTTAGAGTCTGGACCTGTTTTTAATTTACATTAATGATCTTACACATTCTTCTACAACGACATTGTTACTATTATTTGTGACAAGTTCATAACTTCAACTGCACCTCGATGTAAAATGAAGGTCCTTCCCCTCGTGGGTTTTCGGCAACAAAACAACAACAAAACAAAAAAATAGGGGTGCGCCTTATACACGGAGATTTACGGTATGATTGGTCAATGGTCATGGTTGTAATGGTATTATGGGGAGTGGCTATGGAGAGTGCAAGTGACTGGGGTTTGGGCATATGAGTCATAGTTCTAAGAATGTGGTTTGATCCTTGAAGCTATAACTCTGGGGTGGTCATTAATCGTAAATAATTGTTTATAATAAAAAGTAATGGGATAATTGGGTTCTGTTTTATCATGGAGCAGGTGGGAGAAAGGTGAATGAAAGGTGAATGACTGAAGGGAGGGGGGAGTGATACAAGTACTACATAACAATAATGACTATTTGATATCAAAAGAAAAGTGTGGGCTTTCCAGGAAACACAAAGACTTGACTCCACCCAACACCCCATTGAAGTCAATAGCTAGTGAAACATAAACTTAACTCCTTAAGGCCCAAGTGCTCAGTGACTCATAAACCACTTTTTCTCAAAATGGCCAAAATGGAGTTACGTCTTTGTGTCACTGACCCCTCGATATGTATACCACCTATATTACTAAATTGCTAAAGCTTTACACTGTAATAACCCTAGTCATTGATTCAATCGATATTCCGCATATGATAGTGCACACGCTCTGCTCCCGGGGAGTATCCCGTGAAGCACCATATTACCAGTACACACATGCTATTTACATCCTACCAGGTACCTATATAACACCTGGGTGAAGAGAAGTACATGTAAATGAAATGCCTTGCTTACGGACATAAGTACCATGCTGGGGATCAAACTCACAACCTCTTTTTGTTGGTGATGCTGACCTAGGTGTTCCATCTTTTATAGTGTCAGGTCATATTTTAGTGGAAGTGTGTGTGCTCTTCAGGCCACATCTCTTGACACATTTCTTTCAAATTTTCTACAGAGATGCATTATACTCTTAATAATAATAATAATAATAATTATATACCTCACTTAAGAAATCCAGCCATCTGATTGGTCGAATTGCATTCATAAACTTCAACTGTTCCTGTAAAATTCCCGGTAACCATGCATAAAACATTTACTATTTTTAATAACCATGGTTATTAAAAAAATAGGTCAGCCTCCATGGTTACCCCATAGGTTTACATGTTAAAAAATGGTTTGAGCGATCGAGGATACCGTATGTGTGCGAAGGATTGGTCGGTAATTTCAATACAATTGAATCTCGATCGATCTTACCGACAATTTTATCTTGCATTGTTGACATGAAGACGAAAATAAACTTCCAAAAACAAAAAAACAACATCTGCCGATAGATCTTGATCTAAGTTCGTGCCAATATGCATTGCAAAAGTAAAAGAAGGGTGCTTTTGCGAAGCATTCATCACGCCGAAGCCGGTTTCAATCCACTTTAATGTATATATTGTACAAAACTGCCAAGTTCGTGAACAGCGCGCGATGGCCGAGTGGTGTAAGGCGTTGGTGTAAAATTCATCACTCATTGTACGCGAGAGTTCGACTCTCACCTTCGACAAAAAAAAAAATATTTTTTATTTTTTATTTTTTAGTCTATTTTTTTTTCGGCATATAAAAGTATTAATGACTGCTTTAATATTCGAGAAATAGTTGTTTTCATACGCTCTCGGGAAGGTTACAATTGGGCTATTCCCCTCGGCAAGCCTCGGGAATAGCACAATTCTAACCTTCCCTTGAGCGTAATAAAACAACTATTTCTCTCAAAGCAGTCATTAATACTATATAATAGCCTAATAATAGTCCACTCCAAATTTTATTAAACCGAAACGGAAATTCTTTTTGCCCAATTGATCGTGAGCCCGGCAGCCACTGAGCAGCGCCAGATCGACGTTGCTCTATCCCTTATTGTTGAACGCCAAACAAGGTAGCAACAACTCCCATCTTTTAACGTCTTTTGGTATGACGCGGCCGGGGTTCGAACCCACGACCTCCCGGTTGTGTGGCGGACGCTCTACTGACTGAGCCAACACTCCGGTACACACATATTGTTTTGGTGATGCTGCTCCTAGTCTTCACAATAGTCCAAGCCACTAGTGGTGATCTCTACGCCATCCCTTTGTTCCAGGGAGGGGAGAGGGATCTTTGTCCCTCCTTCGAACATAAGGATGACACACAAATCACTGCCAGTGCTGGGGTATACAATTGCATTGCGCAACAATACAGATTGCGATATTTCTAGTTATGCATCTTTCTAGTAAAGTATTTTAAGGTGAATGAAGAGAAAGAAGAAAAGAAAGAATAATGATATAGCAAGCCAAATGAATTTCAGTCATGTGCCTTCCTGTACGTTGCAATGAAGAAGAAAAGAATCTACATAAATGAGTGTCATTTTCCTTTTCCATAATCTAAGCCGTTGTAGCGCTATGGACTACATGGCATCACTTGGTTTACTAATAATTTTGATGATGGTGGTATTTTAAGGGAGAAAATGCCATGGATTTGCCCAATAAGGTGTACTGTAGTCATAAACTATTTTGGGTAAAGCACATGATGTTACATATCACTATGAGCTTCAAAAGTTTGTATTATTATTGTCAAAGCTTTAGCTCTGCCAGCCATTGCCAGCGCACAGTTCAAATACTATTCACTGGTCTATAAAGATGCACATAGATTTTAATGATGGGCATGATACATGTTGGATGCTAAACTGCACAATATTCTTCCTGTACTTGGTCCAAAAAGCTCACCTCGTTGTTCACAATGTGGAAGTTGTAATTAATTAGTTTTCATTTGTTCATATTTCATACAGTTTCACTTACCTTCGTCTGTTCACTTCTCATATGCTCAAGGAGACGTTTCTCTTTGCGTTGCCATTTTCTTTTCCTACAGATAAAAAAGAGAGGACAAACTAAACAATCAATTCACAACCAAAAAGCGGACAGTAATTAGATGAGATTCATACACATGAGAGCTTCATGATGCTATTGAAGATGAAAATAGCAATGAGCAGTAATACAGTGATCACTGTAATAAGCCTGCGCATTAAAAAAATTACCTATCAGTTTCTGTAACTTTTTTGATGATCCAACCACTTTGTAATCTCCTTTAGTGTACTTTCCATTTTAATGGCTTATCTTTGTTTGCAAGAAATATTTTAGCACACACTAGCATGAAAGTGATTCAAGATATTTGTTTCCATTTGTGTTTTATTACTGGAACTTCATATGACCCGGCTGGCTAAAGATAACCAACTTACAGTCTTGTGATTTCTTTGGAGTTTCCATTGCAGCTGTTCTTGACACTACTCCGACTATCATTCAGGCTTTCATCCTCCTCCTCATCCTCATCCTCGTCGTCGTCGTCATCGATAACAGGCTGGTTGATCTTTGGACCATGAGAGGGGTATTCTGGGCTACTATAACCTACGACGAGGGGTGGAGACGGAGGGGATGTAGAGTGAGGGGACGGAGGCGGAGAGTCAAAGTAGGCTTTAAAGAAAGAGACAAAAACAAGTCAGGCATATTAAAGAAATTTGTGAGGGAAATAGAATGCCAGGTTTCCAAAATTTGTTAAACATCCAAATGCACTACTTATAGCTACTTGCGCCCGCTATACAGCCAACAATGCCTAAGCGGTGCCCATTGATCCCCCATGATGCCTTTTTTCTTATGTTTATTGAGAGCTGATTTGATGAGATAACCACCTGCCAGCGCCCTTGCAGGGAGGTCTTATCCCTCCATGCCAAACTAATGCAGAGGGGCTTTAACAAATGTCACTTGTAAGTATCAAAATATAAAGTATTATTGAAGGTAAACCACAACAGAAAAACAGCTGTGTAGAATAATTGTAATATTGCTCCACTTCCTGTTTTAGCACACTTTGAACATATATCACTCAATTTTCCTTGCACTTCAGCTGTTTGGTCATGTCAACACGATTGATCTTTCAAACTGCTTTTGGCTTGCCATCTGGAGCGTGCTTTAGGCACTTCAGAGCTAGATAAAGATAATTTCAAGGGATATATGAAACTAGACTAAATTTATCCACAAGGTATAATTCTAGTAAAACTAATAAAGATGCTATAAATGGCTAATTGGATTGGTTTCACAAGAAAGGAAGAAAGAAAACAAACATCTATTTGAAAGTACTCAACTCACCATCATTTGGTTTGAAGAAGTCTTCATAAGAGTTCACTTTACCAAGACCTGTTGAATGAGAAAAAAATATTGAATATTCATACATTATCTAATATTCATGAACTTTAATTGATATGACAGAAGAACAGAAGGTCATATGTTACAGGTCCTAGATATTCAAATAAAAGTGGTTGGATCATGTACAATTTCACTTTTATATGCTTGAGAAAATCTACCGAATATTGTAAAGCAAATTTGGCTGTTTTTTTTTTAGCCAGAAGGGTGTTCAGTATGTGTTAAAGAATATGAGCTAACATCCTTCTGGCTCAAAACAGATAACATATCATTTAGGATGTTCTAATCTTTCAAGGGCGTTTCAAAGTTTATGAGTTAACACTCAAAACAGACGACATATCAGTTAGGCTGTTCTAACTATTGAAAATATTTTGAAGTGTTTTTATCACACTACTTTGTGAAGCACATTGTTAAGCACTTTGTAACTGAAAGGCATAGGTGCTACTCCAAATACTGTATGGATTGGATCAGAAAGATATTTTCACATGACCTTTGTTTTTGTTTATTTTGTTATCTTGCGAAACTGGCACTCAGTTGAGATTGCTTTCAGAGTACACAATAGCTTAAACCCATAAGGTATACATTGTTCTACAACATGTCCAGTCATCAGTCATGATGCAAAATTATTATTTGTGAAAAGGGTTTTGAGCCGACCAGAAAAATTAGTAGCTGTTTCGTGGTCGAGTGGATATGTGGATCACAAGCTTGAGTGAAAACCAAAAAAAAAATTCCCCTTCCTTTTTAATGTTGAAGTTGATTAAGAAACATAAGGACATATCAAGGAAAATTGAGGTAGTAGATACCATACAATTAATTTACAATAATTAAAATAATATTGAATAGCTTTTTATCTGTGGGATATAGTATAAGGGTATATCACACTCGTTATGAGGATATTTCACTCATCGTGCCGACTTGTGAAGTATGCTCATCAGCTTGTGGGATATACCCTTGTTTCTCACTCCAGACCATTCAATATTAAATAAACTATATAATCAAAGCATGAACAAGTACACAAAGTTGAACTTTAAACTATTGTAATATGGGTACATCTAGAGCAAAAGAAAATGGGGAAAACTGAATGTAGTCACAATAGGACAATTATGAGAGAGTTTTAGAAATTATGAAAAAAATCCACTGTATGAGGGGAATTAAATAACATAGAAACTCACCGTTTTTCATGATGAAGTCATTTGCTCTCTCGACAGCCGTGTTGAATTCAGTCACATGTTTCCCCTTCTCCTGTGTAAACAAAAAGACATGTAAATGTCAATATAAATACATGTAATTGTACATGTATCAATTCAATTTCATATTCAAATATTTTTGACAGCAGCTTATATTGTTTGTGGCTTGAAATAAACTGAATTCATTACATCTACCGACATAAACGGTACAGATTAACTCAAAAATGTTGAATGAAATTCTGCCCCCCCCCCCCCCCATGTGCATTTTGAAAATAAATACATTTTAGTCGTTTGTCTGCTTTCTGCAAGACATGAGAAGTGCAATCAATATTATGCTAACAGAATCGACTTTCAAAAACTGAATTTAGTTCCAGGAAATATAGAATAAGCCTAATGGATGCTCATTTTTCAGGCAATTTCATTACATTAAATTTAAGTTTCTAGGTATGCTACCCTATCTACTTATAACACAGAAACTAAAATTTAAGAAGTACTTCCATATCCTGCACTTACTGGGCAATTAAGAGAAGCATTTAATCATGTGTATATTGTGTGAGCGTTACTGAGGCCATGCATTCATCACATGTAACACTAACATAACACTAAAGATTCTACTGTACAACCATTTATTGTAATTCTACATGACAGACAGAAAGAGGGGGAAACTGAAGTGAATAGAATGGCACTTTGGTAAACTCCAATCCTAGTGTTAACACTTAATGTAACGTAGGCATGACACCCTAACTTTTTGTTCCAAATACCATACAAGAAAGGTCAGTTATTTGAGGGGGTTTTGTAAAAATGATAAAATACTCTATCTATAATTACCAGATAAGTTTCCTTCTCTCTGCAGTTATATTGCTTCAGATATCTGGAAGATTTTCTGTATAATAAAAAGAGGAAAAAAATCAAATATTCTTTATATAAATCATTGGAGATATTTAGTACGGGTAGGCTTTTGCTTACATGTTTATAGTTTTTTTGTTTGTTTGTTATATTTTGTGTTGTTGGTTGTTATGGGGATTTTTTTTGTATCATTTCTTTTTGTTCTGTTTTGTTTTTAATTTGAAAAAGTGTCATTTTCCAATTGAATCTAAGCTATCACAATACACTAAAAATTGACAGAGAAAGATTGTAGCTAAGCTAAAGTTCGCATTGGCTAGTTCAAGGACATGGTGAATATAGATGTAAGTGTATCGGTGTGTTCTTTTCATGTTTTGTTTTTCTATCTTTGTAGTTTTTTTTATTGGGTATTGTGTGTGTGTGTGTAAATATGATCAATAAACAAAAGTAAATATATTCTGAAACCCAGATCACACTCTTGCAATAAACTTTTTCTTTTTGAAATCCACACAAATTTCAAAAGCCCTTCAAAATTTTTACAAATGATGGACACGAATGTCATTTCATTCATTCATTCATTCATTTCCATATGAGGAGGTCAGCTATGGTTTCACCTTCAGTATTAAAGCTTGTGTATATATACATGTATAGCGACATCCTGGTTGTAGTGAAGAAACACTTAACTAACCAGTAATGGACTCTATTCATTAATCAAAACTGACAACAAGCCCTTCACATGAAATACAGTTTGACAAAGAGTAGTATACTAGTACTTAAGACTTTAATTTCACTTGTCCTTTCTTCCATTCTTTGAATAAACTGAGTCTTTGAGAATTAAAAGAGATCTTGGCCCCCATTTCATCATATAAAATATTATCAATAACAAGGGTCAGAACTGCTCCCAGCCAATCAAATGCATTTATTTCAATAGCTTATAACAGTTCTTTTGGCTTGTTATTGATGTCACGTCCAATGAAACAGGGCTCTGGGTTGGCTGTCCAATTCTGATATGAGGCCCGTTCACACATAACAATTAGTGTGATTTGGATCGGATGCAAAGGTCCATTTTAAAATCACACTTTTTTTCTGTAGGTGTGAATGCCCCTATTATACTCACACTTGAAAGTACTGTTCTTTCGTTTGATTCGTTTTGAAGACGTTGTAAACCCGCCTGGACACGTTCTCTCCAGCCACTTCAATCACCTACAATGAGAAAAGATATACAAAGAAATTAACATCTTGTACGTATTGTGTATTCTAATTTTTAAACATTAATAACCATCTTAAAATGTGTACAAATACAATGCAGGGAACAAAATTTACCTGATCCAATTTTGATCAATCTGAGAATAGAATCATGCAAAGAACATGAATATTCATCACATTTTATCCACTCACACTACCAAATCTATCTCATCAACATGTATCATGAATATTCATATTCTATCCAATGTATACAATGAATGCAAAATGAACGGCATAAATCAAACAACAGTCAATGACATACATTTGTATCATATAACATGTACACATGTACCAGTGCATTAGCTCTGATATCTGCTGAGAACAATAAAAAAAAAAAAATTCTGGTGATTTGGTTGACATTTGCTCTAGACTTCGTTTTGTCAAAGATGCACTGTTTAGCTCGGGCTCTGAATTTGATTGGGTTTCAGGTCTGGTTTGGGGTTAGGGTTAGGAATAGTGTTGGGTCAAGAGATGCAGTTGAGAGCTTTTACTTGTGCTGGGAATCGACTAGAGGAGCATCTATCATATCTCCAGACCAGGGGAGTGTTTCACAAAGACTATGGCAGGCCATTCATGCCACTGGTTGCTCCGACCATTGGTCTCTCAATGGACGTCACATATCGACAGAATTTACTTTTTTGTTGATAATTCATTGTTGAATAAATAAAGTTACTTACATCATGTGTAAACTTAAATTATATTTAAGACGTGGACTTATACTACGGTAGGTATCAACAAATTTAAATTCTGTAGATTTGTGACCTTGGATCTGTACGTCCCCTGAGAGACCAATGCCAGTAAATGGTGAGAGCAAACAGTGGCATGAATGGTCTGCAATAGTCTTTGTGAAACATTCCCTGGTCCAACTTAAGACGATCTTAGTCTTTGTGAAAGACTCCCCAGAGCACTTACAACGGCAGGCCATCTTGATTTGTCTTTGGAATCTTGTGCCCATACTACTTCACCAACATTGAAGGCAGGTGGAAGATCTAGAGAGAGGGAAGGAGGAAAGTACAACATTCTTTATCTCTTACGAAACTATTATCACAAAATTTGCATTAGTTCAAATAAACAATTCATATAAACAATTGCTATGTGACGGTGTCACGGTCTAGTGGATACACTCAAAGAAAGCTCAAAGAAGTTCCCTTTTTTCACCTCTGATAATTATTGCCCTATTTACTTTGACACATGCTCATATCAATTATATATATTCCTATTAAGTTTTATAGAATCTGTTTTCTCCAATTCAAATAATTAATGGTAATTTATTATCAAAAGGAGAAGCAACTAATAAATTACTCTAGAATTTGAAATTACTCATAGATATACACAGGTCTATGGATTTTCAAGAGACATTCCGCAAAAGACAATAAAATCGCTCATTAAACTGCCAGCAATTTATTCAAAATAGTTAACATTATTTTGAATAAGATTTTGAATTAAAGTTACCCTACAATGATGAATGATCTATGTACAGTAAGTAACATCTACAAATTTAAACAAAGTAATATTTCCTGTTCTTATCAATAAGTACCAGTAACTCTCTTTCAACAGTGCTGCAAAACAGAGATAAGTGTCATCATAAATCACTCTTTATGTATACTGTCAAGCAAAATCCAACCCAGCATAGAAACTTTTTCCTCCTTTTAATTCATAATATTCTCAATGTGAGTTTCACATCTCATACTCCACTCAACTTCATTAATCAAAACTCTAGCTTTGCAAGGAAGGAAAAAAAGAAAAAGGAAAAACAATACATTGACTTAACCATGACAAAGAAATGAAGGAAATAACCCACAAATTATTGTTTAAAAATGCTTTACTGTTCACAGGAGCACTTTAGGATTTGGTGTTTGTCTATTTTCAATAATTGTTATAACTTCCCATATCTTCATTCTTGTCTATTGAACTTTGGCTGAAAATTAAATCAGGTCTTTAGTTGCTGCTATCTTGTAAATCGCTGATTATTCTCACTGCATGCTTATTGGCACTTAGCCAATTACATGTTAGCAGCATTGATCAACTACATGTACTTGTAAATAAAGATAAATATATCTCATGAATAAATACTGTAGGCAGACATGAAAATAGGTGTGAAAAGGTTTGGGCTACCTTTAGTTTTAGAGTCTGGTGTAAGAACAGGATTCATCAACTCGTCATCATCATCTCCACTACCCTCATCATGAGATACACATTCAAGTCTGAGATAAAAATGAAACATCAAATACTATTAATACATGTACATCCCTTCCATATGTTCCATAAATAAGCCAGTTATAGTTAACCATTTGGGCTTCTTCGTGATCTACCGTAATCATTATCAATTTAAATCACTAATTTCAAGCACACTTACATTTAAGATTCTGCTTTGTGCAGCTGAATCACATTTATTAACTGTAAATAAAACATGTTTTGACAGTTGCATATAATTTGAACTATATAAATTTAAACTATATTTATCTAAAGACTGGACTAATCATGCTGTAAGTTTACAGATCTAGCAGTGTACAAAAGCAGATACTGGAGTGATTAGTTAAGCAAAAATCAATAATTGATACATGTATAAATATTCCACACACTAATTGATGTTTAACTACATGCTAGATTCCAGAACATAAAAGGCATTTCCAGGAATATTGCCAAAGAATGATATTATTGGTACAGTAGTTCAAAAGATTAGTTTACATAGCAAATATGCCCCCCCCCCCCCCCCCCCCCCCCCCCCCCCCCCCCGGAGTGAGGAATACAAAGTCTTTTCACCCTGATAACTACAGTGTGTTCATATGTAAATACATTGCAGACCTATTAACCTTGTACTTAATCCAGGTCTGTAATCTTCAAATCATAATTTGTGCTGTAAATGATACTTGTAAATCAACAAGTCTTAATTTCATCTTTTACATTGCAAGAACTTCATTTAGTAGAATATGGAGTCATACCTTAACATGGCTGCATTCTGTCCTGGGCTTGAGTCTGAAAATAAAAGATATATTTATAACATTAAATCTCCAGGTTGTTTTAATAGTGACACTTGAAGTCTTAGAGATATGTTCTAATGGTGCATACTTTCAAGGTTCAAAGTTTGATTTCAATTCACATCCATAAAAACACATTTTATGAAGGTATAAAATACAGAATAATGTATATATAGAAAACAGAGAACACACACAAAATGGAAACATGTTTACAAATATACCAGAATTATAAAAAGTTAATCAATAGAAATGAATTGGGGAGACTACAAATAAAACTGTAAGGTTCTTTCGAGGCAGTCCCTGTTATTAAAAGATACATACATGTACATATACAAGTTCCAACAATTGTCTATAAGAAATATAACAATTCAAAAACAGTGTACAAAACATAGTAGACGTACTAGACGTATAACATACAATGTACATATTTTGCACAGGAAGAAACAACTTCATACATAGAAAATAACATATGTCTAGAGTAAACATGAAATAAGAATTAATGGCCCTATACTGAATCATTCTAAAGAGCATGAACGAAAACAAGGAAATACAGTGCATCATACATGTAAATACCATTCAGGTTATTTCATTCATTAAATCTGGTATGTTAATTGCCAAACAATTACAATAATAAAAAACTTTTTTTTTTTTTTTCAAATCAGGTACAAAGCTCTTTGAAGATTTCCTGTTATCCTGTACTGAGTCTCTGCTTCCTGTTTCTTTTTGGTTTTTATCTTAGACAATAGATTGGAATCCACATGCTAAAGGTGTTTATCTGGATACTTGCCACCTACATGTAAACTATTTACAACATACAATATCCATGCACATGATCAGAAATTTGGAACTGATATAAAGACTTCTTGCAAAGAATCTGTGATTAAGTTCTACAGAAACAAGAAAAAACATAATTTAAACATATAGTCAAAAGCCCAACCTAAATCAATTATGAGCAATTAATATACTGTAAATTATCTGTGTGTTAGATGGTAGACCAGAGACTGTAGACAGTAGATAGATTCAATAACTTTGACTTGCATGGTCATGTGCAGGGTTACAAAAGGAGGATAAGAACGCAATACATGTAGACATTTCTATGAAGAGAAAATGAGATTGCCCTCAAACTTGGCACACCAATCAAGCACTTCCTCCTCTTTCCTTTCTACATGACATGCATGTAGGTATCAATGCAACTGCCTAATTCTACATGTATTTTTAAAGTTATAAATAGCAGATAAAAATGAAACCAGTCACCAGGGTCAGAGAGAAAATAAAATTCCAACAAACTCAAAGACACAGCAAACAGAGCCTACTGTAGATCCACAAAACATGGCCAAATATAGTACTTCTAGATTTATTGCTGCTTCCAAAGTCTGAAATCACACATAAAGCAGGAAGTGTTTACTCTTTCAAGATACAGGTATGCCAAAACACTAAAATTTGTCTATCCTGATTCCTCATCAAATGACCTTTACTGAGCTCCAACTAATATTCTTTTATGTGCCATGATTGATTTTGGAGAGATTTTGCTGTGCCTGGTTTCTAGGGGGAGGGAGGGAGGGATTAGGTTTGTTTGAATGTCAAGTACTTTTACAATGTACCTGATACAAGACTTTACATTGTTTGTAAGAATCTGGGCTAACTCGGCTCAAAGACAACTCGGCCCAGCTATAAAAACGGTCATTTTTTGTCATTTTACCCTAACCCTAACCCTAACCCTAAACCTAACCCTAAACCTGCAAAAAATGACTGTTTTTGCAGCTTGGCCGAGTTGTCTTTGAACCGAGTTAGCCCGACTCCTATTGTAAGTATACACTGACCTGCAGTCAGATTGCTTGGTTCATCTGCTTGCCTGCCGCATGATGACGATTTTCCAGACTTCAAAGACTTATCACCTCCCGGAGAACCACCTGGGATCTTCCTTTTCCTTGACTGTCGAGCCTTGGGCACCCTGCCCTTCCTGGAGGATGCTCGCTTCTTCTTAGAAGCCACCGTCTGATCCGTCTGAATGGACTCTTGATTCTCCTTGGAGGATGGTTGTGAAGCAGCAGAATCAGAGACTCTCTTCAAAGCCGATGCAGATGCTGCAGTCAGGATATCAATAAGGGCACTTGCAGATTTTCTCGCTCTGGGTCTACCCCTCCTAGCTTTGCGAATGGTTCTCTTCTCCGGGGGTGTTGGTCCATCAATATTTTCAATGTTTTCAGGTGCTTCTTTGTTTGCCGTGCAAGAACCACCATTCCTCACTTCATGTACTGTTTGCAGAGGAATTTCTACCGGGGCATTGGAAGACGGGTTGTTCTGATCATCCATCACATCAATCTTATTCCCTAAACACTTCAGCTTTTTTGATTGTTCACATATCTTACTTCCCTTCTGTGTTCTTTTCAATGTCTTCTCTTCTTTTTGATGATCAGTATCCATATGCTCATTGCTTATTACAGTTATTTCACTTTGTTCCTGGCTTCTTCTCTGTCTGTTAGATATTTTAAGAACATCATGACAAGGAGAGGTTTCTTCAACACACGCTTGTTTCAGATTAGAATTGCTGGTTTGATCTTCATTACTAATCCGCTTCTCTCCCTCGTGATCTAGGTCTGGTTCTGGGATTGTTGACTCAACTCTCTCCTTCAGAGCGTCCTTAACATTCAGCTGCATTCCTTCTCCTGCTCCTGAGGCATCCTCCAAAGTCTGACAAGAAGCAGATCCCTTGCCTCTGAGGCTTTGTTTCCTGGTCTTAGACCCAGTCTTGGACCCAGAAAACATAGGAGCACCGGTAAATATCTGACTACTAACAGTTTCACAATCATCATCATCATCATCCACGTCTAAAACAGAATTCTTATCCAAGCTCTTAATGCAGCAACTTTCAATCTTTAACACTGACCTCCTTTCCTTTCCCTGTAGGGAATCTTTCCTTACTTTTTCATCTACCATCTTGCTGTTAAGATTCTCATCACAAACTGAGAAAATAGTGTTGCTCTTCGGTTGGTCCTCACCTAGATCATGATCGATTCTGTTCCTTTTTCTTGGTGAAGTTCGCCTTGGAACAGCCGGAGTTATTTCTTCTTTGCCCTTTCGTCCTTCCTTACATGTTATCTTTGGATCTTTGGAACATGCAATCGCTGACTTCTTTGAAGGTGTTTTAGGCTTAGATTTAGGACTGGCTTCCTGGAAGCTGGACCTTCTTTTTCTGGTTCTAAGTGAGTATGATTCAATAGCAGGACATAGTTTTACTGTATCATTTGTTTGGCTCTCTCCTGTTTCATCTTTAGAAAAATTACTAGTTGTTGGGAGCTCTGATTCAGATGGTCTCTGGTGTTCTTGGCCGTTCGGAGTCTCACAGTTTCTAATATCTAAGAATGATAAATCTTCCAATTTATTGTGTTTAATTGCATCCTCGTCACATGTTCTGCACAAATCATCACCAGACAATGTTTCACACCTTGACAAATGTTTAGACTGCGTTACTTTTGCTGTTGAAGATCTGTTGTCCACATTTCTTGCTTCTGCTGTCCCTGGTGAACTGCATTCTACTTTGCTACTGTCTACTAACGAACTGAGTTCACAGTCTCCAGTTGACTGACATTTTAAGGCTTTATTTCTCAGAGACGATTCAGTATTTTCCCCTTCATGTCCAACCCGAATTTCATCATCATCATCATCAGAATACTCATCCACCTTGGTACAACCAGAATCTCTGGTCCAATCTAATGAATCAGCGTTCCCAGTGTCAGGAAAATCATCTTTAAAAGCCTGGCAGCTTTCCATATTCTGATGAGGATCTACAGACGGATGGTCACCCGACTGGTTCTCACTGCTAACTAAATTTGTGTTGGGACATGATGCTTCTGGCTCCCCATCTTGTCCAAATTCACTGTGTTCTTGCATATTACATCCATCATCGTCTTCACTTAGAACTTGAGCGTCTACGGCCGTAGAAGACCCGACATCCTCATCATCTAGTTCAGCTGTCATTGGACCTTGACCCACATAGAGTGGGCTGTCATTATCAAAGTTGCAATTAGAAATGGCGGTGTCCTCCATGTCTAAGTCATGCTACCTATAACCAGTTCCAATATGTAGATTGTCAAAGATGAGTTCTCGAAATAACCAGGTACACCAGGAAGTCTGTAAACATAAAAGAACAATAAAAAACAAAAAATAAAGCCTTGTTTCACTACATGAACTTTACATAACTATCTTGATCTAAGGAGACACGAACAAACAAACTACATGAAATCATTAGATACATTCTCCCAACCAACCTTTGAATTTTCCCAACCGTTTTTCAATGAAATGACACATAAAAACAGGCTTTAATAAACGTTCAAACACGTAAATGTTTGGAATGGCATAAGAGCCAATTCATTGCTTTGTGACACTTCACATTCACCTAAAATGTAATTAAATTTATAATAATATAGATTTTAGGAATCGATCAGATCAGTTTTCCTAGTTTTTCTAGCATTGAATTAGTCACTACTTTAATAGCACCATTTTCTCTTATCTGAAAAATGTTACCAAGTCCCTTTTAAGTTCTAACTTTCACTCAAATCTCAAATCTAAAGTGCCCATATCCGTACAGTGAAAATGAGGCTGAGATTGGATGAACGTAATGCGCATGCGCTAAATGTAAGCTAAAGTTCTACGTGGTGGGTACATGTACATGTAGGTGCTAATCACGTAGAACTTTAGTTTACATTTGGCGCATATATGCGCATAACGTTCATCCGATCTCAGCGAATTGCAGTCTCATTTTCCTAAATTGGCACCTACAACTTACAAGGCCCCTTCTTACAGCGCTCAATGCGAAAAGTTCTACGTGCTAATCTGCTATTTGAGCATTTCACTTTCAGTGTTCGATGAAAATGATCAACGACAACATGATGAATGGAATGCATTAAATTCAAAGGCAAAAGTCAGAGAAGGAATAGTCTAGTCTATACGTTTGTTAAGTGCCCAAACACGGGACGCCCAACCCCCATAAACAATCATGATAAATGCTTCCGGCTTTACAATATTTTCTAACACTTCTTAAAATATATTAATACAACTTTTGACTATTTTGTGAAATATTGCCATTAATTATTGGCTTAAAAAATTGCATGTAACAATTAACATGTGTAAACTTCTTCAAATTACTGTTTTTTGTTTAATCAATTGTCCATACACACAACACCCATAGGCCATAGACATAGTCATAGTGCCATGCCATACCTAGACCGAAAGCTTCAGTCTCTATAAATCGTCGATTGTTCCACTGAGACTACGTCTGGCTCCACTGGACCTCTATAACCGGAGGTCTAGTGGAGCCAGACGTAGACTAGTCTCAGTGGAACAACCGACGATTTTATTATAGATTAGAGACTGAAGCTTTCGGTCTATGCCATACCTTACCTTTGTCCTTGCCTGTGAAGCTCTTAATTTTCGACTTCTAAGTTAGTTAGAGGCAAAATGAGTCCATAACAAACAACAAAACTCGTCTGACATCGCATCGGCTATGCATCGAGAACGTACGGAACGGACAGCAGCTACATACGATCGACGGGCCACCCCTGGGCCTGGCTGTTGGGCGGAACTCGAGCTGGACGAGTGCTAATACGTAGGCCTATACCACCGTGCTGCTCGACATGCAGGGTCTCGATTCACTGCACAACTTGTTTACTACGTTACGTGAAGCTAGCGAGCTCGCGTGAAGATTGGGTACCGTGAAGATTGGCTCTTGGGTGTTGTTGTATTTGTGCACGGAATTTTTATTTCAACATGAGATCAAGATCGAGAAGACACAACGCAAAGCTCTGCGACTGCAGTTCCTAAAACGAGCGGGCATAATTATTATGACATGGTCATTAATTTTGAGGCCGTATTATTATCACTTGTGTCCTAACCATGAGAAAATAACTTATCTAGCTAGACCTACAATGCTGGACGGGAGCTTCTAGGGCCTACAATAAATTAAAGCTCGAGACGAGTGAATGCAACCACGTCCCCGCCCCCCCCCCCCACACCCCCCAAAACACCGATTACCTTATGTTTTTGTAGGCACTTTCCAGGGGCAACGCCCCGGCGGGGATTAAGGGGGCAGAGCCCCCTGAAGCCCCTGGGTTTTCATGCTTTTTAAGACCCCCAAACGCCTAATTTTGCATAGTTTTTTTTTTCTATTTTTTTTTTTCAGGCAAGTTTGTTGCGAAATTTATTGTTTTCTGCCTAAGCGCAAATAATTTTGAAATTCAGAAAAATACGTTCTGGTCTATTTCGGAAAAGCAAAGTGCAATTTAATGCAAATCGCGCCTTTATAAAACTGTGAAATAGGCATGCTTTTCACAATCAGACATTTATTTATTTTTTCAATTAATCGGAAAGTTCAAACTACTCTCACTTCGAGGTCCGGGACCCATGTCCCACGTCAGCCTCATTCAAACATATAGGGTCCATAATTATGATATTATTAATAGTATAGATCAGGGGCGTAGACAACGGGGGGGATGAGGGGGATGCATCCCCCCCACCTCACAAGGTGGGGGGGATGGCATGTACAATCATCCCCCCCCCCCAGGTTTTGGGGAATGATATTTGCTTACTTAATAAGTCATAATGATGATAATAATAGTAATAATAATAATGATAACAATTATAATATTAATAATAATAATAATTATGATGATGATAATAATAATCCTCATCATTATTGTAATTGTGTTTATTGTTATTAGCCGCATTCACACGTTGAAAGCCAATTCAGACGGTAAAAAAAAGAAAATCTTACAAGTATTTTGTGGTTATCTTGTGGTTTGGAAACCACAAGATAACCACAAGATTAAACAGGCGCGGATCTACGGGGGGGGGGGTTTAGTGGGTTTAAACCCCCCCCCCCCCCCTTGGGCGGCCCAAAAAACAAAAAAACAAAAAAATGGAAAAAAAAAGAAGAAAAAAAAAGAAAAAAAGAAAGAAAAAAGAACGCATGCTGGAGAGAAACCCTTTCAAGTGCAAATATTGTGAGAAGATATTCAACTCATCTGGTAACTTAACCAAACACATGATAACTCTGGATATAACCATGGAGATATAACTGTGTATTTAACTGTTGCTTGATTTAGAAAGACGTTATCATGCACTGCTTTTTATGGTCTCCATTGTGTTAATAGATGCCAGGAAAACATCACTTACGGGGTTCAAATAAACACCCCCCCAAAAAAAATCGGCTCGCCGCTTTGCGGCTCGTGGACGATGCTCCGCATCGTCATTATTTTGGTCAACCCCCCCCCCTTAGCAAAAAGCTAGATCCGCCCCTGAGTCATCCCCCCCAGGTGCACGAACCTGTCTACGCCACTGGTATAGATACAACTAAGGCACCTCTCCCCTCCTAAGCTTGCTCACATAAGTGACTTGTAGGTAACTTTATCATAAGGTGTAGCCAGGCGCAGAGGGGCCGAGCGGACCCTGCCCCCCCCCCCCCCCGCAAAAAAAAGAAAAAGAGAGAGAGAAAAAAAGGGGGGAAGAAGGAGATCGGGGGGGCAAAAGGGCCTTGCCCCCCCCCCCCCCCATCAAAAAAAAATAAGAAAGAATGAAGGAAAGGGAAGAAAAAAAGGAAAAAGAGGAGATAAGGGGAGGAAAAAAGAGGAAGAAGAAAAGAAAAGAGGGGGATATTGACTTGCCATTATCCCGCCAACAAGTTGTGGATCGGGGAGGCCAAAAGGCCCTTGCCTCTCACCCCCCCCCCCCCCCTCCCCCCGCCCCACCAAAAAAAAGAGAGAAGGAAGGGAGAGGGAAAGAGGAGAGCTAAATGGGAACAAAAAAGAGGGACAAAAGAGAAAGAAGAAAGGTAGGGGAGGTCTTGCGATTTTCCCCGCCAACAAGATGTAGATCGGTGGAGCTAGGGCCCACTGGCGTACTGATGGGGGGTGGTTGCAGCCCCCCCCCCCCAATAAAATTAAAATGTGGTATATTTCTAATTCAATACCGGTGATTTACAAAATTTAGCTGAAATGATACAATTTCCGAGATATTTCCTCACTTTAGTTGGAAAATGGCAATTTCCTTATTTTTACAGTCGGGCAAGAAATATGCTGATTTCGAGGCCTATTATGTCAGGGCCCGCGGAACGGCGGGGCTCAAGGGCTCCGGGGTCATCCCCCCCCCCCACACACACACACACACACTTGTTTTGAGAAAAAAAAAGTATATTAAAGAGAAGCCAAAGAAAAAATAGTGACCTACCAGTGTCACAAAATAATGAGTTATTGAAATATGCTCATAATATGCTCATCTGACTGATTAAATGCCTCAAACCCCTGAGCTTCCGGGTGCTCTGCCCCCTGGTTTCCACCTGTGCAGCCACGTAGCCACGGGGGGGGGGGGGGAGGCCGTGCCCCAAATTTGTTTACAAGATCGGTTGAACATTTTTAAACCCTTTTTTTTTTTACCTCGATCGATTACATTTATGTGCCCCCCCCAAAAAACAAAAAACAAAAAACAAAAAAACATCAAACTCTGGCTACGTGCCTGCACCTAAGGCCCTAAGGCGGGCCCCTGGATACATATCTGAAGGTGATTTAATACCTAAAACCCTTGAGCTTCTGGGGACTCCGCCCCTGGACCCCACGCCAATTAGTGTCCTGCCAGTGTCACAAATAACGTATCAAAAAATGCTCATCTTAGAAAAGGCGGAAAAGGAAGAAAGGGGAAAGACGGAGGAGAGAAAAAGGGGGAAAGAAGAATAATGAGAAGGGAAAAGAAAGAAAATGGGATGTTTATAAGAAAGTGTTTTTTTTTTTTTTACCAGGAAAGGGGCGGGAAGGGGTCACGCAATTGTGCAGTGTGCATAATATTGGGTCCCTCTTGCCAGGCGTGTAGTCCCCCCCCCCCTCCCCCCCCCCCAAAAAAAAACACAACAAAAAAAACCCAAAAAGAGAGAATTTTTGTGAGTTAAAGGATATCAGGATATTGTCGGTAGAATCGCGGCGCTGTCAGGAAAAATGAGAAAAGGGGGAGGGGAAATGAGAGGGAAAGGGAAAGAGATCGAAGAAGAAAAGAAAAGGAAAAGAAAGGAAAGAGAAGCCGAAGAAAGAAAAAGAAAAAAGAGGACATATTTTTTTTTTTTGTGTGCGTTTTAAAATTTGAAAATTTGGCCGATCGATATTTCGTTTCATTGGGGGGGGGGGGGGGGGTAAGGTCAGCTTTTTGGGTCACCCATGAACACAATTTTTTATTTAAACAAAAAAAAATTATTACATTTTTTTTTATTAAAAAAAAAACCCAAAGAGGGGGGGGGGGGGCAATTCCTCCAAAACACACACATAAAAAAAGTTAAAGGGGGGGGGGTCCCCTGATTCTCTTAATGTGGATGAGAATATATTTAATCGAATTTTTTAAAGATCTATTAAGTCAAAAGAAAATGTCTAAGTATACATACAATATTCTGCACATCTTTGATGTCCGCGACTGGCTTCTGCCCCACCAACATAGTATGGCCTATCACAGCAAGCCACACATATTCAAGTTCACGCTAGATCAAGCCGGGAAAGCCACACTCCAAACCCGCCCCCCCCCCCACTCAGTGTTATTTAGGGTACGCATATGCTCGTACCCAATTTTTGAAAGCACTCCCTATCTGAGGACTGCCAACATTTCCGAACCCCCCTTTCGCGGGCTTTTCGCGGGCTTTTCCTGCCTTGGAGACCCCCCTAAATCAGGAAAAATGCTCATTTTACCCCCCTAAATTCGGAATAATTTCTCAGGAGTCCAAAGAGATGAGAGAAAAAAAGAAAAACACCCCCTTTTTAAAGAAATCTCTGGGGGAAAAGTCAAATACACCCCTTTTTTTACAATTCTCGGGCCGGACTTTGTCGCACGAAAAGTACCCCTTTACCGGACATTTTGGCAACACGCATGCGGTCATTCCGACCTCTGAATGGGGGGGGGGGGGGGGGGGGGCCGGGACTCCAAACCAAAGACTGGTCAACATCTCCACATTGGTGCGACACAACAGGCCTGACCCGCATGCGCGACCCGCATTCTGTCATCGCTTCCAGATGGACAACCCAGGCTGGTGAGTCTGAGAGAGGAGGAGTGGGAGTAAGGGGGTTGTTGGGTGGAGTCGTCTCGTCGAGGGAGCAAGAAAGACACGGGTAAATATGTTGCTGTGTCGGGTCAGCTGTGTCGGTAATCTTGCTCGATCCTCATCAATGCATAAGTTTGAAGTCGGTGAGATGTATATTGTCGGTCGGCCGACAAGTTTTTTTCCCTACGAACTGCGACTTCTTATCCGCTGTGACGACTTCGAGAGTGACTACAACTACAATACTTGTATTTTCTCGAGGTTTCACTTTCCTATAATATCAGCTAAAGAAATCAGAGGTTTAAAATTTTCGGGGAAACTAAATTCAAACAAGGTTTAAGAGTCAACAACGGTACGACGATTCATTTTCCTTTCTTTATATTGTGATGAAACGCCAAAAAATTCCGCGCTTCGCGCGTAAGGGGAACTTCATTTAGACGAGTCGAGAACGGAACGACGAATCGTCTTCTTTCTCTAATAATTTAAGGAAACGTCAAAGCTTACGCGCTTCGCGCGAAAGTGGGAAACTGAATTCAGACAAATAGGGCTTACTCAATCGGACGTTACAACGAATCGTGTTCTTTCTCTAATAATTTGAGGAAACATCAAAGCTTTCGCGCTTCGCGCGAGAGGGGGAAACTGAATTCAGATGAAAAGGGCTTAATAATAATAAGATTCGAAAACGGTATGAGGAATCGTCTTCCTTTCTCAATATTGTGATGAAACGCCAAAAATTTCGCGCTTCGCGCGTAAGGGGAAACTTCATTTAGACGAGTCGAGAACGGAACGACGAATCGTCTTCTTTCTCTAATAATTTAAAGAAACGTCAAAGCTTCCGCGCTTCGCGCGAGAGGGGGAAACTGAATTCAGACAAAATTAATAGGGCTTATTTAGAGTCGAAAACGGTACAACGAATCGTGTTGTTTCTCATAATGT